ACCCAGGAGCCCACGGGCGACTGGGCCCGGCCCGAGCCAGCGCAGCCCCTGCCCTGCTGCCTCGCCTCCTGGCTGGCTCACCTGTGAAGGGACGGGGTCCCAAGCAGCCGGGGGCAGGCGGAGCCTGAGCTCGGCTTGTGTGTGTGGTGGGGGTGGAGGTGGGGCTTTAGGAAATAAGGCAGCTGCCCTGACTGAACCTCCAGGGCCCGTGCTCGGAGGGGCCTGAGTGAGTGGGCCGTGCCGCCTCCGCCCGGGCCCAGGCCCCGCTGTCTGTGTGGACGGATCTGCACTTGCAGGGACCCAGAGAGGAACAGCCCGCCCGAGGGGCCCAACGTTGCTGCCAGCACTTAGCTAATCATTAATACAGGAAAGGGGAGCAAAGGGACTCAGGTGTGGAGCTTAATAAACTAGGAGCGTCGGCCTGTTTGCTTTGGCAGGAAGTTGCAGCCTCATACCCGTGGGACCGCAGCCTCCCTCGCCCTCCCGTACGAGGCCGCTGTGGGGCGCGGGGGAGGTGCCAGACCGCAGAGTCCTGTCAGCCTGGCTGGGAGGGGAGCCCCTCAAAAGTCCTTTGCACCTGCTGGCCCCAAACCCCAGCTCCTGCTCACAGCCCCAAGGGTACAAAGATGCTCTCTGTGTCTCTTGTGACCCACAGCCGCCTGTGCACGCGCATGTTCTCTCTCCACAGGCACGTGGCCTTGGCAGCCGCACAGCTGACAGCCGTGTGGACACCTCCGCACGGCAGTGGACCGCCGCCAGGGGGCCCCAGCCGGATGCTGGGCCGGGCAGGGCTGCGGTGCGGCCCAGGTCTCTGGCCCTGCTTCGCCACGGCGGAGTGGGCGGAGTGGGAGCCCGGGGCGGCCTTCCACACAAACCAACCGCTCTGCCGGCCACCATTTCCCGCGCATGGCTCCCGCGCAGTCTCGGGGCGGAGCCCCGTTCCCACCAGAAACCAGGGCCCCACAGCCACAGAGCTGCGTCCTCCGGGGGCCGGGGCTGGGGGCCGGCCCACCCCCCACGCACACTCTCAAAACCAGAGGCAGCCCTCCCCCGGCGGAGCACAGCTGTGTCCCAAACCCCACAGGGTCCCCGGGAACACCGTGACTCCTCTATTCATCTCGGATGCAGCAGAACTAGTGACAATCTGCTGAGCACTAGTCGGGCCGGGTCCAGGAAAGCCAAGCGAGGCAGACGGGGACCCCGAGCAAGCCGTGACTGGGAACGGAGAGACAGAGGCAGAGAGAAAAGAACCCGGAGCATCCGAGAACCTTGGCCGCGGCGCGGCTGGCCCTGGCTGCCTCCTGCCTCCTGCCGGGGAAACCGGCCAGACCCCCGCCCTGGCTACGCACGTGCAGGGCAGGGCACGAGGGCCTCCGTACTCACCGCCGAAGCTCTGCCGCCCCCAAGGCTGACCCAGACCTGGGGGCGGGCGGGTGGGCGAGGGTGTGAGAGAGAAGACCCGGGACCAGGGCTGGGTGGGACGTGATCCCGCGGAGAGGGCGCCACCACCATGCCTGAGCCACAGGAAGTGACAGAGGGAAACGCAGGCAGGTGGAGCGGGCAAAGTCTGCCAGGAGGCCGGGAACGGTTCCCGCCCGCGCACGCCCAGGCCCGCCTGGCAGACGCACTGGAGGCAGGCAGCCCTCGTGGCACAGCCCACCGCGGGCGGGTCCAGCGCGGCGGGGCCCCGTGCTGGCCTCAGCGTGGCAGGCAGGCGGGCTGCCGCCTCTGGTGCCGCGCAGCCCCGGCCGTGCCAGGCAGCCTGGGTTGCCTCCTGGTTGGCGGGGCCCCGAGGTCTGGGGCCCCGAGGTCTGCGGCCCCTGCTCCGCCCGGGCCGCCCCTCACGGGCCCGGGGCCACCGACAGACACAAGAATGCAGACTGAGGCCGACGCGGCCATGGCACGGACAGGCATCTGCCATGGGGCGGGGGGGGGCGCAGGTACCACAGCGGGTCCTGCTCAGACCCTGGGAAACGTGGAGAACAGCCTGCGTTCCCCGGCTCCTCCTCGGCAGGCCAGCCCCACCCCGGCAGGCTCTCCCAGGCCGCCCAGGCCCCCAGAGCAAACCAGAGGGCAGCCCCGGGGCGAGGGCGTGGGGGGCACCCAGGGAGTGCGGCCGGAGCCCGGGTCACCAGGCAGGGCCTTCGAGGACAAGCTTTCAATGGGACACTGAGGCCCAGGGACGGGCTGCTGAGTGGGGCCAGGCCCTGCGGCTGCACAGGCCGCCCGAGGAGGGGCTCCTTCAGCCCGGCCCGTGGCCCGAGGGTCCCTGCGCGGCCAGCTCAGGCCGGGGGCGCGAGGGGCTGTCCGGAGGGCCACGGAGGCCATGCCCGCTGCACCCAGACACCTGCTTCATGGGCCTCGGGACCCCAGGGACGCTGCCTCCTGGGCCACCTTCCCTCCAGCCTCCGCCAGCCCCATGGGGGCCCCGACTGGGCCCCTGCCAAGCGAGCCCCTCCCCAGCGCCAGCAAGAGACCAGGAGGGCGCCCAGTCCCCAGGCCCAGTCACGGCCAGGGTGTCCGGCTGCGCCCACAGAGGGTTCCTGAGAGGGGCCCCGAACCCTCCGCCCGTCCTCTGGGAGGGTTCTGGGACCCGTGCCCAGAGGTGACGGGGGCGCAGCACAGCGCTCTGTTCCGTGGTCTGCCAGAGCCGCCCCTTTGGAGGGGCGCCACCCCCTCCCGAAGCACTGCTGCCAATCCTACCACGTGACAAATGCTTGGCTTTGTCTATTTTCATGCCATTGAACCGCTTTGCCCCCAGCAAGCAAGCAGAGAACAGGTGGATGGGTGGATGGCAGAGCCAGGGCACAGGCCACGGCTCGAGGGCGCCCCCTGCAGGCCTCCCCGGGATACACCAGCTGAGCAGCCGCCCCTGGCCCCAGGCCAGGGTCCTATCCAGAGCAGGGACACTGGCTGGCTTGACCGATGGGCTGTGACAGGCCACCAGGCCAGGCCACCGGGACGTGGGGGCTGGGACGGCCTCCTCCCCAGGCCGGTCTCGGGGAGCTCACAAGGGCGCAGCCGCTGCAGAGGGCGGGCGGGTGCGGGCCTTCGGGGGTAGCGCCCCTGGAGGACAGGCTGGTTCCCGTAATCCCAGAGCCGGGGGGCCCAAAGCCAAGGCTGCCTGGGAGACTCAGTTTCTGGCTAAGACCTCCCTCCCGTCTGGCAGCCGGCCACCCCCACAGTCCTCGCTGGGCTGGAGTCTGTCCCTCTAAGGACACGAACCCCATCCCGCCCCTTAGAAGCTGGCGGGCACGTCCTAGGGGTGCCCCGGCTTTCGGGCCCCAGCGTCCCCTCGCTAGGATCTCCAGTGAGGACGGCAGCAGGCTGACTGTTTCCCTGAATGGTGCCCGCGGGCAGGGAAGGCTGCAGTGCGTGGTGGGGCCTGCCCAGGACAAGGCAGTGGCCGTGAGCTCCTTTCAGCCCGCATGGCACCGACGCTCCAGGGCCCCAGCTCCGGGTGGGAAGGCCTCCCCCACCCCCGCCCCCGCCCCACAGCTCGTGCACCACAGCTGAGTCGGCGTCAGCCTCTGGAGACCCAACCGGGGTCCCGGGGGAGGGCCAACAAGGGCCTCTCTGGCGACAGGGGGACCATGATGCCTGGCACAGGGTGGCCTTGCCCTGTCCGGCTGACCTGCCCTGGTGCCAGGCCACGGGTGCCGGGACTAGGGTGAGCCAGTGGGCCGTGCACGCAGCAAGTGCAAGCGCCGCAGACAAGCAGCGGCTCCGAGGGTGGCAGGGAGGTGGCTGGAGGCCCTGGTTACTCACAGAGCAGCTGTGGCTGCAGGGCTGGGAGCCGGGCAGACCCACAGACTGCAGAGGGAGCAGGGCTCGGGGAGGAAGGGCGCCCCAGCAAGTGGGCTTGCCGAGGACTCCCCCAGACACCCCACCCCTGCCCCTACGGTGCCTGCTGGGCGGCCGCACGCTGGGCGGAGGAGGGGACGCGGGACGCTGGACGTTTGAGAACTGCTGGGCGGGCCCAGGTCCCGAGCCGACACGGACCCCAGAGCTCCCCCGGCAGGGTGGCATGCACGAGCGGTGACCATGGAGTCCGGACCACAGAGGGCTCTTGGGGTCATTTCCTGGTCTCTCAGCACATGACTGGGACACAGGGGGCACATGGCGAAAGACCAGCCCCTGCGTGGGCCACGCCCATTGGGAGGGCCCAGGGGAGTCTACGCCAGCACCAAGGGGGCGGGCAGAGGGCCGCCCTCGGGCTCTGCCGGCGTCGGGGTGGCAGCTCACCCGGTCTGCCTGAGTCCGTGCGGCCCCTGTGAACGGGGATCCCCCCGGGGGCAGCCCAGCGCAGACCGCTGGGCCCCGGGTACAGGGCTGCAGCCACGGGGGGAGGCCGGGGACGCTCACGAGTGGGCGCAAGCCCGCGGGCCGGTCAACAGGCCGCGGCAGTTTTCCCGGGAACCTGTCCCAACACAGGCCACACCCTTGGCTGGCCAGACCCCTGCAGAACAAATGAGGGGCAAGACGGGCCCGCCGTGGGGCGCCGCAGGACAGAGGGCCGCCACGTCCCACACCTGGGATACTGCGCGGCTGGAGGCACCTGCTTCCCGCTGCCCCACCCCCGGCCCACCTGCCCTCGGGCCGGGCCTCCTCCCGCACCACCTCCCCGGCCAAGGTCCCGGGCGCCCCCCCGGCCCGAGACAGGACCCCAGTAAGCTCCTCAGCACTCGTGTTTATTTGTCGAGTCCAGCCCTGGAAATGCCGTGAGCAGGCGTGTGGCAGTGCGCGCGCCCATCAGCCGCGTGGCCTCTCTGGAGCCGAGGGAAGACTGGAGGGTCCCACGAAGCTGTTGTCATGGCTCGGGGACCAGGACGCCCGCACTGGGCTTTGATGGCTGTCCCTGCCGCGCCTGCCCGAGTCGGCTGCCTCCCCCGAGGACAGGACGGGGGGTCTTCACCAGGGGAGCCACAGGCGTACACAGCCGCTCAGCGCAGGACCGGCGGCCACACTGAGGCTGGTGGCACCGCGCGAGGACGCCGCGGGCCAGGGGGAGCCCCGAGGACTCCAGCCCCCGGAGCAGGCGTGCAGGGCCGTCCGGTCAGCTCTTCATCACCGCCCTAAAGGAGGCCTGTGGGAGCAGAGGCAGTGAGGTGTGGGCAGCGGCCGCCGGACGGCGCCGCCGGGGCTGTGACCAGGAGGCCCGACCAGCTGCCGCTCGGGGGAGACGCCAGGGCCCTGCCCGTCTCTGGGCACAGCCCAGCACACGGCGCGGCCGCTGGCGGGGCTGGCGGAGCGAAGCCCAGGGCGGCGGCAGCCCCCGCCCCACCTACCTCCTGGAGCAGCTGCCCCAGCCTCTCCTGGCTGTGGATGGAGCGCCTGCGGGACAGGACAGCTGGTCGGCGGGGCCTCCGCACACAGGCCCGCCTCCGCCCACCGCGGACAGCGGGGAGGCACCGAGCCGCCGAAGGCGAGCCCCCAGCGCCCACCTGTCTATCCTCGTCGCTATGGTCACCGTGAAGGTGCCCTCCGTGTCTGGCAGGTAGGTGGAGGGCACCACCCTGTAGGTCCCCGCAGGGAGGTGGCAGACCCGGCTCACTTCCTGGGCGTGGGAGTGCGGCACGCAGCTCACCAGGGGCTTCTGCAGCAGCAGGGGGGGCGCCCCCGGGCCCTCGCCGCCCACCGGAACCTAGGGAGGCACAGGCTCAGGCTGGCAGTCCGTCCCCAGGGCGTGGCCTCCGGGCTGCAGCCACTGTCCCCCAGGCCTGAGGCAGCCCAGGCTGGGGACGTGCTAGGGCATCGTGGGCTCGCTGCCTGGTCCCTCCATTGCGCATTCGTCCCCTTCCGAGGAGGACGGCACGGCGGCCCCTCAGGGCTGGGCTCGCCGCTCACCGAGGCCCCACTGCCCTGGCAGGAGGCCTGTAGGGCGTTGGGCGCCTGCGCCGGGGGGCCCGCCCTGCTCAGGCCTGAGCCGCCGGGGGCCCCTGCTCTGGGAGGACGCAGGCCCAGCAGCTCCGCCGCCCCCAGGGGCACAGAATCTGCTCCACCAGAAAATCCTGCACTTCGTCCAAGTCACCTGTGCTCCGGGCTACCTGCGGGTCTGCCACCTGCGTGGACACAGGCCCCCCGAGGGTCCCCCCGACGCCCGGCCCTGGCTCCCGGGAGCTTGCCTGGAAGACGTGGAAGCCGATGGGGTGGCAGTCGCCGTCTGGGCAGTGCTGGTGCAGGGTGATCCGGACGCAGCGGGGGCCCGCGCCCTCCGGGACCAAGAGGGGGAAGCAGGGGTTGCTGGGGAAGGAGGCGAAGCTCCTGCTGCCCCCCGCCGTCTGGCCGGCCCTCCAGGAGCCCCGCAGCTGCACGGTCTCCCACTCCCCCGCCGGCAGGGCCGCCCCAGGGTCAGGGTTCTGGGCCACCGTCTTGACGGCGCTGCCAGGGGAGAGACGCAGGCTGGCGCTGGAGGCGGGGCCCGGCCTGCCTCGCCCCCGCAGGCCCCGGGGGATGGCCCGGCGCTCACCTGAGCGAGACCTTCCCGCTGGAAAAGACCCGGAGCAGGAACTGTCCCGGCACGTCCTTCAGAAAGGTGCTGGGGACGGCGAGGTAGTAGCCGGGAGCCAGCTCACAGCAGAGGTGGACCTCGCGGTCGTAAGCATGGCACGCAGTGCCAGCCACAGGGGGCGCGGACAGGACCTTGGGCAGGCTCACCCGCCGCTTCTCCACCTGTGGAGAGGCGGCCGCATGGGAACTCGGGCACGGCCCCGCCCTGTGCTGGCGTCAGGGCCTGGCTGGGAATGCCGGCCACCCTGGGCTCGCACCCAGCGCTGTCTCCGGCGAGCCAGCAGGCCCTCCAGCTCCAGCAGGACGCATGGGTGGCCAGGGCTGTGGGAGGGCGCGGGCGCGGCCCGAGGCTGCGGGGGAGAAGGCCTGGCAGCAGCCGCTCTCAGCAGGACAGGAGCAAAATATGCACCACGCCCACGAAGGGACAAGGGACACAGGGGCACGAGCTGTCAGACCCGGGCAGCACCAGGCAGCGTGTGCTTGTCCCGGCCAGGTGCCTGTCCCCAGGAGAGCAGCGCAGACGTCCCCATCGGGGGCCAGGCGGCTCCTCGGACAGCCCCTCGAGGTCAGATGTTACCAGCCACGTGGTGGTGGGGGGGTCTGTGCAGTGGCCGAGCCGGGCCCACAGGGAAGAGCCGTGGCCAGGAGCCCACGGGCTGTGCCCCCCGCCGGCTGGGCCAGGGGCTTTGGCACGCACACGGCACGGCCGGGAACGCAGTCCCGCCGACCCCGACCGGCGCTGGGTCAGCGGCCGCCAGCGGGCACAGGACCCCAGGACGGCCAGGGCCGGGGGGCCTCCCGTCCCGGACCCCAGCCCTCCTGAGCGGGACGCCGGCCCCACGGACTTGCCTTCCAGAGGTGCAGGCCCACGGCCGGGTAGTCCCTGCCCGGGACGCTCGAGGGGCTCCACGCAGCACAGCCGTCCCCGGCCGGCGCCCGGGCCCGGCCGGCCGCGCGCCTCCGGGGCCCCTGCAGGACCGCAACGCACACCTCGCTCGGCTCCGCGACCCGCAGCCAGAACTTGGGGTTGCTGGGAAAGCTGCTGTTGTTGCGGCAGCCTCCCGCCGACTGTCCCTGCACCCAGGCGCCCGGCAGCTCCTGCGTGTGGCTCAGCACCTTTGCTAGGGCGGGAGCACAGCTCACGTCGGGCTCCCACCGCCAGCGCCCCGGTCCCCCAGGAGCCACCGCAGGGGCAGGGGGATGCGGGCGCCCCCCCCAGCCATGCTGCGCCCTGGGGGCCGCCCTAGGGCGGGCGCAGTCACCTGAGCGGAGGCTCTGCAGGTGGCCGGCCTCCGTGACCGGGTAGCCGACGGTGACCTCGTCGAACTCGCGGAGAAACTCCTCCTCTTCCACCCAGAACTCCCCGTCCTGCAGCTGGGAGAGCAGGGCCCGCGAGGCCTCAGGGTCCACCTGGCTCCACCCTTCGCCCCTGGAAGGGAGCTCCGGTCAGCGGAGGGCTCTCCTCCGAGCGACAGCTCCGGCCATGCGGGGGCGTGGGGACCCGGAGCGGTGGAGGCCGTCCCGAGAGCCGCGCCCTGCCAGCCCCTCGGGGCCCAGCTCCACGGCCCCCCACGCTCGGACCTGCCCTGGCCGCACCCTCCTGGGACCGCCGCAGGGCCACGAGGGCAGCGGGCGGGGAGCAGCGACCCGGACGCCCGCCCACGCCAAGCGTGGGACCTGCCCCACACCCAGCCCCCCGGGGGCCTGCCTGTAAACTCACAGGTCACCGGTCCTATTCCCAGTTGGGACAGAGGCCCGGGCTGCGGGCCAGGTCCCCAGCAGGGGGCGCGCGAGAGGCAACCACAAGGGGATGTTTCCCTCCCTCCCTCTCTCCCTCCCTTCCCCCCTCTAAAACAACAAATAAAATCTTTTAAAAAACAAAGAAACCACCACGGACCGGGCCACGGCACCAGCGCCTAGGCGCCCCTGCTGGGGCCCGGGCTCTTGGCGCTCACCCCTCTCTCCAGGGCCCCTGCCAGCACCGCCGGCCCCAGGGGTTCTGAATGCGCAGCAGCAGGAAGCTCTGACCGGCCCGGCCGCGGAGCTCGTGCAGGTTCCAGACGATGAAGGCGTGAAACTCCCCCAGCTCCCTGGCACCTGGGAGGAGCGGCTCAGTCACAGGCGGGGTCCCCACGCCGAGCAGGCGCACAGGTCTGTCTCCGAACCTGGGGCCGGTCCAGCCCCCCACCGCTGCGGCCCCACCGACCCCCGGGGCGCCCTCCCCGACCGCCGTGGACCGTGAGCGCAACAGCAGCCTCAGGCAGTGCAGGGCCCCAGGGAGGCCCGGGTCTGGACTCCCGCTCCGCTGGACCAGGCCTGGCGGCTCACTCCCCTCCGGGGTACACCAGGGGCCCTGGCCGGACCATGTGGCCGGCAGGATGCCTGGTGCAGGACCAAGTCTCAAAAGCGCCACTCCTGGTACGGTCACCGACGGCCTGGGACCACCCAGGGACAGGGAGGCTCTCGGCCAGGCCGGCCGGGGCCAGAGGGAGGACCAGAGCCCAGAATCAGGCGACACAGGAGCAGCCAAGCAGGATGGCCCTGCCGGGGTCAGGGCCCCGAGCAAGGACGCCACCCCCTGGGTCACCCCCAAGTGCTCTGTTCAAATGGCACTTAGCCACCGCACGGGCGCGGGCTCTCCCTCCCACGTCCCCAGCCCCGGGCTGCTCCCCCGGGCCCCGGGGGACCTCAGGCAGCCCCAGGGCAGCCCCAGCCTCAGGGGAGGGGCCCTGCCCAGGTCGGTGCCGCCTCGCGCACACGCGAGGGCAGTGTAACTGTCCACGCAGGTCAGTTCATGTCAACGGTCAGCCTTTGACCAAAGATTCCATCATGGAAGTAACTCTAAATAGGAGAGTTTTAAGCATAAAGCGTCACGTTACTTGTGAAGCGTGGAACCAAAAAAGCCTTCCGTTTCCAGCATTAGGGGAGACAGAAGGGAGCTACGACCGGCGCACGAAGGAGACAGGAGGGGGACGGCGTCCACCTAACACGGAGGCCGGCCTAGAACGCAGAATGCAAAAAGCGCGCATTCCGCCCTCGCTGGTGTGGCTCTGGGGACTGAGCGCCGGCCTGCCAGAGGCAAGCACACGTGGATGTTTCTCTTCCTCTCTTTCTCCCTCCCTTCTCCTCTCTCTACAAAAAAAATCTTAAAAAAAAGAAAGGTTTATGCTCAAGGGTGCCAACCCTGCAGGCTGCCAGCCGAGCCAGAGACGGCGCCATCTCGTGCTCAGCAGCCGTCTCCACACAGGCTCCTGCCTGCCCAGGGGTGAGTCCTGGGCAAGGGAGAAGGCCCCCCCGCCCCCGCCCCCGCCCCCGCCCCCGCCCCCGGAGACGGGCAGGAAGCAGGGCCAGGTCACACAGCCGGAACGCACCGGCATGGAGGGACTTCCACGCTGCCTTCAGCCCAGTCCCAGTCCCGACCGCCTCACCTGCTCTGGGGCTGAACACCGAGCAGCTGATCGGACACCGCTCCTTGAGGCAGAGCAGCTGCCGGCAAGTCCGGGGCTCTGGGCCGCCGGGCCCGTCCTGCGGGCCGCTGCTGCGGGCCAGGCCCTTCAGGCTCCACCGCTCTGCCAGGCCGCCGGTCAGGTCCACCAGGGCGTCCGCCACCTGCCCCGCCCACAGGCGCTCATAGGACCCGTGGACCCTGGGAGACAGGCGCCCGGTGAGCCCCGACACGGGCGCGGCGTGCGCCCCTCCCATCCCCACAGCCTGCGAAGCCCCTCTTGTCCTCTGACCCCCACTCTGCCCGCTCCAATCCCTCCTCTTTCCTGCCGCCCTGCCCTCGCCGGCTGCCACGCAGCGTCCCTACGACGCCCTGCACCCCTGCCCACGTGCAGACCCCCTGCCTCTGTGCAAAGCCCACCCGTGAGCCAGATGGTGAGCGCACTCTCGAGGGAAGGGCCTCTGCCCGGGCCCCACATGAGGTCTCAGCCTCAGGCTGGGCCACCACAGACAAGGCCACCGCCCAGGTGGCCTCTTTCCTCCCCAAAGGCCTGCAAGAGGCTGCCTGTCCCCAGTGGTGAAGAACAAATAGATGGAAACATCTTTCTTGCTGGGGTTTCACGAAAGAGAAGGAAAACACATGCCCTCTCTTCGTGCCCAGCTGGGCAGAAAGGGCAGGGAGAGGCGGCCGCAGGCCTGGCCCCGTGGTTTCCGTCTCTGGACCGGTCAGCCCCACCAGGACTGGCCATCAGACGCTTGGAAGGGAGAGGGCGCTGCAGCCCAGGGAGGGTGGAGACGGGCTCGGGGGGGGGGGGGCAGCCTGAGGGGGTGGCGGCCCCACCCGCCTGGCCCTGCCCCACCCGCCTGGCCCTGCCCCACCCGCTCCTGCCCGCGTACTTGGCGTAGGCCTTCTCCAGCAACGGAAGCCAGAACACATCCTCTCTCTGGCACCGGGAGAAGCAGAGTCTCCCTGCAAGACAAGGCAGACGGTCATCTACGGTCACCTCCACCCAGCGTCCAAACTGCCAAACTCGACAGGTGAAGGAGCCACGGTACGTCTGGTCGAGCCAGCTCGGCTGTCCAGGAGGAATGACCTACCGCGCACAGGGAGAGGCAAGAGGAGACCATGAGACAAACGCCACGCAGCGCCCCCAGGTGTATCGGGCAGAGTGCGACCACGCTGCGCTGCCCCACAGTGCCCTGCGGTCAGCAAAGGGTCCGACCTGTGCCACACCCAGGTCGGCGCTCGTGGAAAACCAATCCACATACGGGACGTCCACAGACTTGTCAGTAAAACATTTTAAAACCACAGGGAGAGAGCCAGTGCCTCACAAAGCTTGATGTGAACTCTTACGTTATCTTGTCCCGAATGAGCCCTTGACCTGAATCCAAAACATAGGAGTTTTACACATATGAGACCCAATTCCCGACAGAGCTGGGTGCGGGTGGCAGGCCACTGCGGGCAGGGCAATCGCCCCGTGGGAGCCGGGGACGCTGGACCTCGGCCCCGCCCGGACCCACGCGCTCACCGCGGGCGTGGCGTCCTGACCCAAGAGGCAGTGTGGGCTTTGCGCACGGACACCTCGTGCGGCTCTGCCACACACTAGCCAGAGGCACGGTGGCCGCAGATCCAGCGCCCTCATTGTTGGGAGAAAGGTCAGAGCCCACGAGGCGGGATGTTGGGTGCGGGGCCTGGGTCGCAGCAGGGGGTCCGAACGGGCCACTGTCGGCAGCGGCTGCTGCCGCCCTGATGGGCACCACTGAGCAGGGCGCCAAGCAGGAGGCGGGTGGCTCCAGGGAGGGGTGGGAGTGGGAGTGGCCGCCTGCACCTGCGGTGTCAGCCGAGCACCAGGGACGGTTCTAATCATCTTCGGCCGATTTAGGTTCAAAACCTATTAAAGAAGCCAACTAGCTAGAGACGTTTATTCCAAGCCAGGGCACAGGCTGCCTCGGCCAGCCCCTTCTGACCCAGGCGGGCACGTTTGCCTCCCTGGTCCGGGTGCCAGCCGGTTCTGCCTGCAGGAGAGCCCCTCGGTGCGGGGGGGGGGGGGGGGGGCGCGGCAGGGCCGTGCGGGAGGCGCCCCCTGCAGCCCGAGCGCCAGGCGCTCACTCGCCGCTGTCGTGCGGAGCAGCCCGGCAGAGCCCCACAGAACCGGGGTTCCGCTGCTGGCCCCCGGCTTCCTTCCTGTGCAGAGCAGACAGGAAGACAGACACCTGGTCCAGGAGGTGCCGGCTCTTCTGCAGGGCGGCGCAGGCGCACAGGAACCAGCAGTCCCCCAGCAGCCCTTGCTTCACCTGCCCTTCCTGCGGGTTATCTGGAAACATCCGGGGCGCGGCACAAATTTCCTAAAATACAGAAAATTGCCCAGAGTTACAATATGTCTGGCAGCTCGTACAACAGGGGACTCACGTGACAGGCTGGCAGGGGCCTTTCTGCTCCTGCACACAGCGAGACGGGGGAGAGGGGCAGCTGGCTTCCTGCAGGCGTCACTCATGAGCCCCTCCTGGCTTCAGATCGCCCATCCTGCTTCGATTATGGGGTCCCTGTCTCTGTCCACCTTCCTTAACTGGCTAAAGCCCCAGCTCTCGATCAGTGCTACCGTCCCTTCTCCAAGCAACGAACATCCACCGAGACAACGGTTCCCCTTTAGATCCCCAACGGCCAGTCTCGAGCGGGTCCTCCAAGCTGCTGCAAGACCCACTGCTTCCCTCAGAGGCTCCTGGGCCCACTCCCCGGACCAGCTCCCGCCTGCTGTCCTCTGTCTCTTCTCCGCTGCCCTCACCCCCTGCTTCATCAGAGGCTGCCTGACCTGCCCCTCCTGCCTCAGGCCTGGGCTCCTCCTGCGACCCCTCCCGCTGCCGCCTCCGGGGCAGCATCCCTCCAGCATGAGGTGCCCGGGGGACGCTGCCCCTCAGCCCCGCTTCCTGGGACTCCCCTTCATGGACGACCTCTGACCTCCGACCTCTGGGAGAGAGCCACTGTCCCTGCTTCCTCCCCGGCTCCCTCCCGCAGACTCGGGCCTCTCTAGCTTCACACCTCCGACCGTCTCACCGAGGTCACTTCCGTGTTGTCAACTCCAACAGGCACCTGTGTCCACCTTCCCCAACGTTCGACAGCATCAGAGCAGAGGCGGGTGTCCCCTGACCCCAGCAGGCCCGTCCTGGCTGCCACGATTCCATGTGCTCCTGGGGGTCCTTCACCTCACTGCCTGCTGCTACTTCCTGGCACCTGCCACCCCGACTCGGAAACATTAGGGCTCCCCCAGGCTCAGTTCCGAGTCCTCCCCCTTCTCCGCTGGACACGCTCCCCCAGGCCCGGCCGGAAACCCGCCAGTTACAGTCCCAGCCCCCAGATCAAGCCTCTGCCCGGATGGCCCTGGGCTCCCAACTCCCCCATCCCCCTGCCTCCTGACAGTGCCAACTGACACACGAGGGTAAAATCCACTCCAGACTCCCACCTCCCACGTTCCCCCAGCACAGCAAATGGGACCCCCGCTGACCCAGGTGCTCAAGCCAGAAACCGAACTGTCATTCCGATCCCTTCTCTGTCTTCGCCCATCAAAATGCTAACGCTGTCACGCGAACTGCAGCCCTTCCCCGGGACCACCGCGAGGCGGGCTCACACTCTTGCCCCACCCGCCCATGTCCCCCCGGCAGTACCCCCAGGTGACCCGTTCCTCTACAGAAAACCCTCTCCTGGTCTCCCATTGCAACCAAGATCCATTTTTATCCAAATTCCACCGGCGTGACCTATCAGACCCTCCACGCCGTGGCCTGCCACCTCCCAGGCCAGACAGGTCTGGGCAGCGCTGCCCCAGGGCCGCCCGCTCTGGCGGCCGGTTCACCCGGGAAGGCAGGCTTCTTCCACGGGCAGTCTCACTCAGCACACTGATAAGCCGTTTCTAAAGATGTCCACGTAGCACTCAGCCCCGGCACCCCTTTAAGTTGCCACCTTAACATGGTCACACCTGGAAACGCAGGTGCACTAAATCCAAAATAGAAGTTTGCAAAGCCAAGTGACTTTGTTTCGTAGGCTCAGCCTGGCCCTTCCACCAGAGCAGCAGAGGACCTCGCCGCCGACCCACAAGATAGAGAGGAGCCGTGAGAACTGGAAGCCAAGTCCGGCAGGCGCCCTTTGGCGGACACGCAGGAGCGGGGCTGGCTCTGCGCCTGAGAGCACGCCCCTCTCGCGCTGCCTCACTCTCCTTCGGAACCGAACTCTCAACAGGTGCGGGCCGCGAGCGCGCGGCCCAGAGCAGCCAAGGAAGCTTCAGGGGTCGCTGCCATGTGGAGTAGGGAGCCTGGGGACCCCCTCGCGAGGACAGCAGCGCAGACCGGCGGAACCGGGCCCGGCTCCCGCCGCTCCGCCCAGCCTCCGCGCTCGCACCTGGGCAGAACACAAAGTGCAGAGACCCGACCCGGGGCCCCGCAGCCGCTTACCTGGGGCCGCTTCCACGTGATGTCCTCCCGGAACTGGGCCAGCGGCGTGGAGAAGCTGGAGAAGAGCGAGGAGTCCGAGGCAGGGAAGGCGGAGTCCCGGAACAGCTCCCTGGCCGGCGCACGCATCTTGGGCACCCTGGGCTCCCATGTGTAGCCCGCGCCCCCGCGTCGAGCGCGGCCGAGTGGGAGCGTAGCCCCGGCGGGAGGCCGAGTCGGCTGCCGTCCTCGGGCTGCCCGACGTTCCCCAGCTTCGCCGGGCCCTCTATCGCGTCAGACTCGCAGCGCCGACGACGCCGCTCGCCGTCCCTCGGTCGCCCTGGTAACCGCAGGGTTCCCAGGATGCAGCCAACCAGGCGCAGCGCAGGGAGTCACATGATGCCGTGCCCAATCGCACTTGGGCGCTAGGAAGTTCGCGTAGAATTTCCAACTCCCCAGGGGCGTGGCTCCCGAGCTGGGTTCTCGCGAGGCTGCACTTCTCCTTCCGGGCCAAAGGGACCCGGAACTGTAACGGCCGAGGTTCAAGCTCAACGAGGGCAGCGGTCGTCTTGTCCTTGGGCCTGTGCGGGTCGGGCCGAGGCGTTGGGACCGCTGGGACTCGCGCGCTCTGGGGCCGAAGGTACCAGAGAAGCCGCCTCGGCCGGCGTAGCGCCGTGGACCACAGGTCCCAGCATGCAGCGCGGCCTCCAAGGGTGCGCCTCTTTTCCCGGCGTAGGCGGTGCCGCCTTTGTGGGCGGAGCCCACAGGAGACTCGGCTTGGGCGGGAGAGTCGCGAGCCGGGCGGGGAGTCCCGGATATTGTTCCTGTGCCCTCCTGGGGTCCTGGGGAAGGAGACGGCCCGGGGCGGTGGGGTGGGGGAGGGCCTGGGAGTCTGTGTCAAGGCAGGCTGGGCTCAGACGCTGCGTCCAGGGCAGGCGGCTGGAGCATCCTCTTGCCCCGCATACGGCCGGCCTTCTGGTCCTGGTGGGCTGGCTGGACAGTTACCTGCTGGACGTGGGGCTCTGGCTTATGGCCGCTCGGTGCTGCGGGGAGGTGAGGACAGTGATTTCGGGACCTGCTCAAGGACTCGCATTTGCTGCAGGACCTGCGCATCGCCTTCCCTTTCTGCGCGTTCCTAGGAAGGAAGGCGGCCCCGCCAGAGGCTGCTTCTCTCCCTGCCCCTCCCAGCTGCTTGCTTCACTATGACTACTTTTGCTTGGGCTCAGAAATAGGTCCTTCAGGCTGGGGTGGCACAGTGAGCTCAAAGGCCCCGATTTTGAACCAGCAACGGAGAAAGATTTAGTTTCTTAAAAGGCACTTGGTGGCTTGTCCTGAGTCAGAAAGAGGGACGTGCCCCGTGGGTGTGGCGCAGGGTGAGACGGCCCAGAGGTCCTGTGGAATCGCAAGGACTGGCTGTGGGGCCCGTAGTGAAAGGATGGTCATAAGAGCAACCATGGGCGATCCTGCAGAAGTGAGGAGCGTTCCACCCGGGAGACCTAGTTTATACGATCCTCACACGACCCACCGGTAGGTATCACTGTTCCATTCCACAGACTTAAAAAGGAGCTTCAAAGGGAGGAGGTGGCAGCCCAGGATGGGGCGGGGAGGGCAGCCAGCATTCCCAAACCAGGCAGAACCCGTTCACTTTGCTCACTGGTATGTGAGGAGTGGATTCTTTTTTGGGTGATGTTTTAGATTAAATTTTGTCTTTTTAACCCCCTGGTAAAAATAATAAGGAAGCACTTATCAGTCTGTTGAGCTCTTGCTCCCAGGTGTATTCTCTGTTTGGTTCAGATAAATGTTTATAAGAATAAAAAATACGTGCTCCTTATAGGATGTCCCCTACCGCCAACTATTGCTCCCAAATGGCCGTGTGTCCTTAAGTTCTGTTATTAGCACAGTGCATGCAGTCCCCCCAGTTGACTCCTTTTCTTTGGAGACAGGATAATAAGAAGCTAGGATAATTCCTTGGCGAGTGGAATAGGGAAATTGAGACAGATATCTGAACACAATGGCCGAGCAATTTACAACCAAATACAAAAGTTCCCCTCCCTGGAGAGACCATGGAGGCTGCAGCTGTGTTTCAGCTCCAAGCCCCCAAAAGTAGCAAAACCAGGTGGGCAAATGCCAGAACCAACCGCAGTGACTGAAGAACCCCGGTCTGGCACTGACCAATCAGGGAAGGCTTCCGCCCTGAAAGAGCGCACCTGGAGAACCACTGCCTAGTCCGAGACCCTCCCCGGAGATGTCCCCTAAGCTGCCCACCTGTAAGAAGGGGATAAAGGCCTCAAGGCAAAGAGCCCAGCCCCAGCTCGCTCTCCATTCCCTCCCCCTCCTTTTTTCACATGCAGGTGTCTCCCAAACTCTCAAAGGGCAGCGGGCAGCTGGTCCCAGCTAATAGCATCAGCTAATGCCCTGATCCTGTCCCCAAAGCCTCCGTTTTTCTGACTTCCCAGTGAGCTAAGGCGGCCCAGCCTAGGCTCTCCTGTTGCTGCTTCTAGGCGAGGCCGCTTCTTCCTTGTTTCTTGTTGCTTCTTCCCTGTTTCACTGTTCCCAGCATTAATAAATGATTCCTCATAGTCACCTGGATTCGTGTTGTGAAATATTTCCCACACAAAGTCAAGAGCCCACACACTACAGCTGGCCCTCTCCGGGCCAGGCCCCTGTCCAGTAACACCCGGACAGGAGCGCGTGTCGGATGCGGGCCGCCCTGTGTAGCCCTGCGGGTGCTGGGGGAGTCACTGCAGACGGGGATCCTTCTGTCAGCTTGCTCACTGGTTTCTGAACAAAGGCTTTTCTGGACCTGGGTGGGTGGCGGTGATCTCAACACCCTGCCGTGATCCTATTAAAATGCCACTGAGATGCTGTGCTGGGCTGCCACGGGCAGCCTGGCCAAGCCCCGTGTTTAGAGGTCATTTCTCCATCGTGGGAGTTCCATTCTGACCAGCTGACTCATTAGAGATGCCTACAGGGGGCCCTTGGCACCAATCAAACTCTGCCAAGGACTCCCCACTTGGGAAGTGATGAAGAAGGGAGCCATTTGATGCAGAACAGCTCGATCACAACACAGCACGGCTGTGAGGCAGCCTTGGGACTGGGATCTTCTGTGGCTAAAGAACTTCGCCCTACTGGGACCATCAAAGGAACACCGCGGCCCAGGGACACGAAAAGCCCCATCTCTGAGCCCCGCGGAGCTGGCTTATATAGATAGAAGTCCCCGCCCCTGGTCCCTGATTGGCCTGCCCTTCTGTGAATTAACTGGTCCAAAAGGCACTGTCCTGATTGGTCAGAACGGAGCAATCCTCATTGGTTGGTAAAGTATGTGGGCAGCTCCAATGGGATGACAGGGAAGCTTCAGTCCTATTGGCTGACACAGGATTCCAGGAGCTCCTTTATAAGGGTGGCTCAGCGGGCAGGACAGCGCAGGGGGCAGGTCCAGGCCCAGGCTGGTGCTTGAGCCCGGGCTTGTCCTCCCTAAAAGGCAGAGACTGCTGTGCACAAAGAGCTTCTGGGCTCAGCATCTCTTAAATTTTAGGCGTCAGGAGCCCTCCTTAGACGGCATTTTCTTTCTCCAAGTCCACAGAGAGAAAGTGGGAAAAGTACGTAATAGCCTGAAGAGCTAACATCGGATTCTCCAAAGCAAAGGAGAGAGTGGCCAGGAAAAGACCTTGATGGGCGCACGGGTGGGGCGGGCGGACCAGGCATGGCTGCCGTGGGTGGCCTGGCCCTGGGGGGCGAGGGAGGCAAGGCCACGGCCGGAGCGGGCGAGGGCGCCCTGATCAATCTGAACCTTTTCCTGTGGCTTCGTCTGTCTCCCTGTGCCTCTCGGGCCTTCAGTAAGCCCTCTGACTTGACTTCTGCATACTTTCCCTTGTCAAAGTCCCTTGGCTGACCCTGGAGCACCTGTCTGGCCCTCCCAGCCCACACGTCCTGTCTTCGTTGAGAGCGTTTCCTGAATTCCCACTTTTAACAACCACCCCTCCCAACACAGCCAGGTCTCCGACTGGTTCGTTCCCGCTCCCTCTGCCCCAGCGCTGGCCCGCCTCGCAGTTCGTTCCCAGCCCCTGGCGTGGCGGAGGTGCTCACGCCCTGGGCTGCAGGCCTCTTCTGCTTCCTCTGCCAGCCAGCGGCTCGGGGGCTGGTCCGGTGCGTCGCGCGCGTGGCCCTCCCCGTGCTTCCCTGATTGCTCCCAAGGGTGGGTGAGCCAGGTCTTTAGGTCTGAGGTTCCCGGAGGTTCTGCCCCAGGTATCTGGCCTGGATCAGGGGGGCCTACGCCAGCAAGAGTAGGGGATGGGAGAGAAGCACCCGGGACGAGCCTGGACTGCGCAGGACGGGGCCTGAGGAACACAGGACGCCTTGTCGGGATCCCTGGCCCCAGACAGGCTGCGGACGGTGCAGGCCCCACAGGCAAACCCGCGGCTCCCTCGCCCTTCCCGGCTTCAGCCTCCCACCCTGCGTGGAGGAAGCCGTCTCCTCAGGGCCCCACCCTCCTGGGCCCCAGCAGATCTGGAGCTCGCGGCCCCTCCCGTGGACACCGCCCTCCTCTGCCTCCGAGCTCCGTTCTCTGTCCCCAAAACGCAGCTCTCGCCCAGGGTCCCGCCCTCAGCCCTTATGGGAGTTATTAACGCCATTTCTGTGCACGCGGCAGGAGTGGCTGAGTGAGGCTGGCGTGAACAGAAGGGGTGCCTGGCCCCCATGCGTCTCATCACCAGCGCGAGCCCCGCGTTCATCTGTGTGGCAAGGTGCCTAGAATGTCCGAGATGTCCTGTCCCCCCTCAGCACAGCTCCCTAGGGACCCGGTGATGGGGAGACCCCACCCCACAGCCGGCCTGACGTGGGCGAGCAGGAGTGACGGGAAGGCTTTGCAGTTTGAAGCGCTGGCCTTTCAGAGCGGGTCGCCGCCGCGGTGCCGCCCAGCCTGCCTGGTCTAGGCTGGACGTCCAGCACAGCAGGACGCGCGCTGCGGGGGGGCTGGCGGGGGCCCCTCGCGGGAAGCGGGGACGCTAGCAAGCTGTTACACAACCGCGGAACGTTTGGGAAAACAGCCGTGATGACTCGTGCGGCAGTGACGTCTCAAGAGCTCGGTCTGGTGGAGAAGTTGGGAAACAGGAGCGGTACAGGCTGCTCACAGGCTGGGTTGGGCAAGACACTGCCAGGAACAGACGGGCCGGGAGGTATTCCGGGTGGGCACGCGGGGAGGGGAGGAGTCGAGAAAGGCCAGGGAGGCCGGGACGCCCAGGCTGAGGGCAAGGCTCCCCCCGAGGGCAGCCGCAGCTGGAGCTTGTAGGGCAGCAGGGCTGTGGGCGCGGCCCCTCCTGTGGGGGCTGCCGAGAGCCGCTTCCCAGCTCTTCGGTCCAAAGGCGGGAGGGGCGGTGGGGGGGGCGCATGCTAGACCCACGGGGTGGAGCCCCCTCTCAGCCGCGACTGACCAGGGCGGCAGTGGCCCACGGGGCGGCCCCGAGCACGTGCCGAGAGCTGAGCCGCTGAAGACACCGGAGCCGGGACCAGAAGTGTGGCACGGCCTCGGCAGGGACGAGGCCGAGAAGCGCTGCGGCCCCCAAGGAGGGCTCTGGGGGCCGAGGAGCCAGGGCGAGGACGGACCCCTGAGCGCCCTGGACCGGGGCGCCCGCTCGGGGGCCGGCCCCCTTGTGGCTGTGCCTGAAAAGGCTCCCGGTGGCTGTGGGGCAGGTGCCGCCCGAAGCCTCCCGGGTCCCCCTTCTCAGCACCTTGCGGAGGCCTAGCTCCTGGCCCCCGTGCGGTGGATCCCCATCCTGCCCTGGTGCGGGGTGGGCACAGATCCTCATCCCTGGAGACCACAGAGGCCCTGGGCACGGGCTTGTGTCATGTTGGGGCCCTCTCCCGGGGAGGGGAAGGGAAGGCTGAAGTGCAGGGGAGTCACTGGGGTGTTGGGCAACCTAGGGGCCGGACGCGGAGGCGCGGGGTTACTGGCCCACCACGTCCGACCCTGCCGCGCCCCGGGCCCTTGTGAGGAGGGGCTGCGAGCCTGGCTCTGGCCAGCGGGACAGGTCACTCAGGCCCAGAGCAGGCAACCCCGGTATAAGAGCCGTGACTGGACACCGCCGCTGCCTCTGGCTTGAGCCCGGGCGCCGCCATGGGGACTCAGCGCTGCACCTCGGCTGCGGCCCACAGCTCCGCTGCCCTTCACGGTGACGCTGAGCACAGCCCCCAACCTGTCCCCGAGCCCCACAGTCTCTACAGGACCTGTGCTTGTGGCCATTACAGCCCCTCCGTCTTGAGTGTCTGAGACCAAACGCCCCCGTCGCTTCCTTCACTCATTTGTGACGGGGGCCATGGCCGAGCACGGCCCACGGTGGAGTGGCAAGTGCCTCCTGTGCTTTGGTGTCTGAGGGTCCAACGGGAGGTCCCAGAGGCCTGGCCGAGGGGATGGGGGCGTCGAGGGCAGCCTGCTGCTGGTCCTCAGACCTGGGGCTGCTGGGCAGAGCCAGGAGGGCCCAGAGCGGCTGGAGTGCAGAGCAAGACCCGAGGGCGGGGCCGCGAACTGCTGCTGACCCCCCGCCCCCAGGAGCTGCCGGGCGGACGTGGGGGACAGGCAGAGGGACGGGCAAGCTGGGCGGCCGTTTTCAGAGGGGAGGTTTAATGGGACGGTCACGGGGGCCCCGTCGCAGCGGTGCCCCGGGCGGCCGCGCTCTGAGTGCAGGGTCCCCAGGCCGCCCCCAGCACAGTGGGCCCGGGAAGCACCAGCACCACCTGCCCCATCCCCACGGGCACAGCGGCAGTGGCCCCAGCAGCCGCAAGACAGACGTCCCCGCCTGGGTCCCCGTGTTCCCTGAGGGGCTAAGGCTTTCCAGGGGCTCGTCCCCAAACGTCCATTCTCTCCTCGGTGTCCCCTGCCCCCACCCTGAGGGCACGTCTGTGTCCTTGTCCCTCTGCCAGGGGCCGGGGGCAGGGCTCTGCGGGAGGCACACGGTGGGGGCAGCGCAGCCCAGGCCTCCCGCAGGCGTAAGGCACAGTGTGGCGGTCGCCATGGGGCAGCACCCGGCAGCCAGTGTTGAGACAGGAGGACGTGGCGCGTGCTGGCCGCGCTGGGCCGGCAGTGCAGGGGGCTGAGGGGCCCGGCCTCGGCCGCGGCCGCGGGAGGTCCCTGGGGACGGCCCCAGGCGGCGCTCGTGGCCGGGGCGGACTTGCAGTCGTGGCAGGCCTGGGCCGCGAAGGCACAATCGTGGCGTCGGGGAGGTCGGGGCTAGGCAGACACGTCGACGTCCCTGAGAGAGATGGCGCCGCTGGGGGCCTCGTCCCCGAGCAGCAGGGCCGGGGGGTGCGCGTCCACCTCGGCGCCGGCGCCAGCACCGCCCTGCTCCGCGCCGGGCTCCGCGCCGGGGCCCAGGCCCTGGGACAGGATCTGCTGGATGGCCCTGCGCAGGTTGGGGTGCAGCCGGCCCTGCGTCTGGCAGAAGACCTCCAGGGCGAAGGACTTGAGGGTGCCGGTGCAGAGGTCCTCGTACAGTGGGATGGTGTACATGCGGGACATCTGCGGGCGCGGGGACGCAAGGTCATACTGGCTGTCCCCGGCCGCTCCCGCCAGCCCGCCGGCCCCGGGCCCACACTCTTGGCCCCTGCTGGCCTCAGACCCCACTCTAGGTCCTTCGCCAGGGAGCTTGGGCTGGGCCAAGAGGTCGCAGCCCCTGTGGGCCTGGGCCCTTGGGCCTCCGAGAGGCTCAGGCGCCCCCAGGCCCAGTGGGCCGAGGCCTCAGGCTCTGCCTGCCAGTCCACTCTGCGCATGGGCTGGCGCTGCCTGCACGCCTCCCGTGGGCCGCCTGCCCTGGGGCCACGTCTGCCCCTCCCCACTCTCCGGGATGCCCGGCCCGAGCGGCCCGACCGCAGGGCCGGTGAGGCGGTAGGGGCGGGACGGGCAGGGCCGGGCCGGCGGCCGCACCTGGCTCTCGAGGAAGCGCCGGACGCGGGGGAGGTCGGGGTAGTAGTCGTTGCGGACCACGATCTGCAGCCAGCGGATGCGGATCTCGGCGTTCATGGAGTCCAGCAGGGAGGAGTAGCACTTGGACAGGCTCGTCACCACCTCTGCAGGCGGGGGCAGGTCAGGGCCGGCCGACGCCCCATCCCCCCGCCCCCCTGCCCCGGGCTGCCCAGCCTCCGCGGGACCCACCCTGGGGCAGCGGGGACCCATCCAGGAGCCGGTCCAGGAACAGCGCCGTCTGGAAGGTCCTCCACTTGGAGATGTCGATGGCGCTGGCCGAGGCGGCCGCCTGGTCCAGCGGCGCCGCGGTCCACAGCTGGAAGAGGGCCTCCACGGGCCGGGTCAGGCTGGATCCCTGAGACAGGTCCGGCTCGGCCAAGGGCGGGCCCGTCGCGTTGAGCCAGCGCTCGAACTCCAGCCCTGCGGGGAGGTGCGATCTGGGGTCCCCTGGGCTGGGAGGAGCCACTGGGCAGGTCCGCCCAGAAGGCCCCAGAGCGCGAGGCTGCCCCCAGGTGTGACTGTTCCAGGGCCCGGGGCCCCCGGCGCAGGGGCAGTCGGGGGAGGCTGGGGTCAGCGCCAGCACCTGCCACATCGAGCCACCGGAGTGGCCTCTGTTGGGGCCCCGGGGAGGCCAGGAGGCTTGCGTTGATGACTGAGGGACCCCCCGGCCCCCCCCTTCTCCTGGGTGCAAGGCAACGGCAGCATTTGAAACTGGACCTTGGTACTAGAGTCGGGGTCCCTTCACCATGTCAGGGAAGTGACACCCCTGCTTTACAGCCCTGGTGCCAGGCAACTGGGGGCGTCAGCCGAGCCCGCCCCCCGACTCTGCAGTGCACCCCAAAGCCCATGCCGCACTCACCAAACCTTCCACAACAGGGTCACCGCACCCAGCCCCTGCGCGGCCCGCACTGCCGTCCGGCAAATCTCGGCCCCTCCGACGTGTCAGACCGCCCGGTCTCCCCTTCAGCCCTTGGGCCCGCGGACCCCCCGGGGCACCCCAAGGGGAGTCGCAGGCGCCGGGCTGCAGCGGCTCTGGGGCAACCCCCCTCCGCCCAGCCGCTCCCGCCCCATGCCCTCCGCACACCCGCTTCTACGCCCCCCGTCCTGAGTTTGCCTAAGCGGGTCGGCCGGGCCACAGTGCCACCTCCTCCTGGAAGCCCTCCAGACCTCATTGGGCTGGGAAGCACAGCCTCCTCTCTGTTTCCCTGGTCTCCCGGCCCGAGCCCTCACTGTCCAGCATGAACGTCTGGAGGAAGAACGATGAGCCCGCAGCGCAGAGGGCGCACCTGGGTAGCTGGGCCCCCACCCCTCGCACCCACCGCTGCCCCGGCGGGCCGGTCGGGGCACGTAGCGGGCGGCGGCGGGCCTCACCTGCCCGGCAGTCCACACTCTGCTCCTTCAGCTCCGGGAAGAAGCTCAGGAAGGAGTCCAGCAGGTCCTGGGCTACCACGCTGGTGAACTTGTACTTCTCCACATAGGCCTGTGGGGACGGGGCAGGGCTCAGCGGGCCGGGGCGGGGCCGGGGCGGGGCCGGGGCGCGAGGGGCAGGGCCTGTGCGGGGCAGCTGCTCACTCGTAGGAAGTCGTCGAAGCGCTGGGGGTCCCCGCAGAGCTGGGACAGGTAGTAGACGAAGCAGTAGCCCTTCTCGTAGGTGAAGAGGTTCATCAGGTGACTGGGGTTGACCCCTGAAACAACACCAGTTCTGGGTGGCACCCCACCTCTGGGCAATGGGGGGCCAGGAGGGTGGAGCAGGAAGGGCAGGGCCAAGGGCCGCCGCCCGACACACGCAGACGCCCTGGGGGTGCGGCGATGGGCTCCGCCAGCAAGGCCTGGGGCCGGCCGAGGGCCCCGCCGCCACGGACGGCAGCAGGAGCTCAGCGCCCAGGCGATGCGGCGGCGGGCTGCGGGGGCCTCCAGGGGCCTTCCGGGGGCTGGGGGCCCCCGGGCGGCCTTTGCAGGGCTTCAGCCGCGATGGGGACGAGCAAGCAGGGCCGGGGGTACAGGGTACCTGGCTCAAGCTTGACCTGCAGCTTGCTGACTGGGCTGTCCTCTCCGAGCAGCTTCATCTGCCTGTGCAGGGCGTCCAGGCGGAAGGCCGTCTCCAGGCAGGTGAAGGCAGCACCTGGGTGGCCATGGAGGCAGAGGCGGCGGGGGCGGGGCGGGGGCAGGCCTGAGCCACGGGCGGCCACGAGGCTGTCCCCCCCACCCAGAGCCTTGGGAGCTGACCAAGGCCACCCCCGCGGACACCGTGGAGCAGGGGGCAGGGGCTCCCACCCTGGAGGCCGGGCAGGGCTGGCACCCCACCCGTCTGCCGCGCCCCGCCCCACCCCGCCCCGGGTCGCCCGCCCGGGGCCAGCCCCAGGCAGTACCGTAGGTCTCAGTGGTGATGCGGCGCTGGGCGTAGGTGGCCAGGCCCTCGCTCAGCCACATCTCCTCCCACGTGGCGTTGGTGACAGCGTTGCCAAACCAGCTGTGGGCCACCTCGTGGATGACGTCGATGACCAGGAACTCATCGCACTCCAGGATGGAGGAGATGACGAAAGTGAGGCAGGGGTTCTCCATGGCCACGATGGGGAAGGAGGGGGGCAGGAAGACGATGTCGTACCTGCGGGGGGCGGTAAGAGGGCTGGGGTGCCTGGGGGGCGCGCGTCCGTCCCCCCCACCCGCGCCATGGAGGTCAGTCAAGGGCCACTCCTCGGGGGTTGGGGACTCGCCCTCCGACCGGCCCTTCTGCACGGCCAGGGCTCGCGGGCGCCTGGACGTACCTGCCCCACATGTAGGGCCCGTAGAGCCGCTCGGCAGCGCTTAGCCACTGCTCCACCGCACCCGACAGCTTGCTGGCGGCCAAGGGCAGGAGGCACGGCTCGGCCCACACGCGGCTCCTGTCACGCGCAGAGCGGGGGCGGGGGCGGGGGGCGCTGAGGCCGCCCGCCCCGCCCCCTCCAGGCCCTCCCCTGCTCTGGGCTCCGGGGCCACCCATGCCTCCTCCACCCGGGCTGAAGGCCAGCCCCCTGCCCCCCACGGCTGCCGCGCAGGCCCTCTTGGGGCAGGGGCCCAGCAGAACCCCGAGCGGCCGCCCCGCTCCTTTTGTCTCTTGAGTGGAAGGAGCCGCGTGGGCTCGGGGAGGGTGCCGGCTGGTTGGAAGCCAAGGCGGCCCAGTCTGGGCATGTGTGGGGCAGAAGGGCCCGGCGGCGCGGCCCAGGCCACAGCAAGGAGGCAGGGCCGGTCCCCACAGCACGGGGTCTCCCAGCCCGAGCCCCAGGCAGCGGCTGTAGGACACAGGACGCAGGACGCGGAGGCTCTACCTGGGCCCGATGTCTGCTGGCTGCAGGTCCCCGGCCACCAGGGCCACGAGGTAGGCGGGCACGGGGTGCTCCATGTGGAAGTGGTAGACACCTTCCTCCTCCACGAAGGTGCTCTGGGTAGCGCTCATCAGCACCTGCACCCCCAACGGGGCCTGCACGCGGGAGCCCCACCCGTCAGGGCACCCCCACCCAGGCCGGGAAAGCCCACACCTGTGGAGGCAGCCCACATGCCCCCACAGGGCACCCCGCGCCGAAGCGTCCTCGCCGGGGAGCCCCGTGGCCCCGCCCTGGGCCCCACAACCCGGGCAGGGAGCCTGTCACCCCCATCAGAGCTAAGTCCCGGTCTGCGAACCGCGTGCCCTGGGTGTGGGCTGCCACCCCGAGCCCCAGGGGCGGGGGCCCCGTCCGTGGGACCGGCCACCCCATGTGAACCCCCGTGCACCCCAGGGCCGGGCGCCCAGCTGACGCAGCCCCTCCCCCGAGCAAGGAGGGCGGGGTCCCTGCGGGGCAGCGACTGGGGGCCAGGCGGGGCGCAGACCTTGACCACGGCCGAGTAGGTGCACTTGACAGCAGGCGTGTCAAAGCAGGGGAAGAAGGAACGGTTGCACACGGAGTGGCCCTGGGTGAAGACGAAGGGCTTGGCGCTGCCGTAGGTCAGCTCGGGGTCCAGCCACCAGATCTGCGGGGGGCGGCGGGCGGTGTCAGCGGCGGGCGGCGTCAGCGGGCGCCCTCCGCTCCCCAGGGGACGCCAGGACACCCGGGGCCACGGGGGTGCAGGTCACTGTCGCTGACCCGCCCCCGGGCAGGCTGGGCCGCGGACCCAGAGTGGCGCCTGCACTATGTCGGCAGGGCCGGCCCTCCCTCCAGGCGGCGGGACGTGCACCGGGAGCCGCCAGGCCCCTTGGCCCAGCCTCCAAAGGGAAACCGAGGCACAGCCGGGACACCCGAGCCCAAATTCTCACAGGCCGGCGACGCGTCCGGCGTCAGCCCCGAGAGGGGGTCCGGCACGTGGAAGGGCAGAACCAGAGCCTCCCGAGGGCGCCCCCGGAGCGCGCACGCCCATCCCGGGGGCGTCTGGGGCGCCCTGGCAGCGGACCCCAGGCCAGGGGACGGCGGGCGGTGAGCCGAGGCCGGGCCCTCGAAGAGGACGGCCCGGACGGAGGTGTCCGTGCCGGGGGCACCGGGGACCGATGCCGCAGTGGCTGCTGCCACCGGCTGCCCACCCGCAGGCGGCGCTGTCTCCCTGGCAGACGCCTGCGAGCACGCGTGGCTTTTTCGAGGTTCGCCTTAGCTGCCGCCCCTGTTCCCTCACCACGGGCTGCCTGCAGCAGGAGGCCTGTTAAAAATGCAGATTCCTGGGCCCCACCCCAAAAGGCTCCCGGCTGGGACCCAAGAATCCACATTAAGGAGACACCCCACAGTGACACCTGCTGCAGGGAGCCCTCGGCCCACGCTGGGGACAGGCCCCCAGACTCCCTTCACCCCCACCGCCGCCGCCTCTCACGCTCCCCTCCCCGCCCCTGTGGCCCTCCACGGGGTCCACGCAGCTCAGCCTCCTGTCCCCACTACCCACGTCCACCTCTCCGCCTCCCAGAGACCCACGGGGTTGGGGCAGGCCCCCAGGCAGGCAGGACCCGCCCAGAGGGGCCACCCTCCGGGCGCACCGAGCCCCAGGGTGCACGGGGCCGGGAGCAGAGGCACAGGTGCCAACGGGTCAGGGGGGCCGTGGAGCAGGACTACGGGCGCCAGGCTCCGCAGCGGGGGCGGACGGCTGCCCTTGCTGGCAGGTGCTGGTGTCCAGGAGTGGGGCGCAAGGGGCGTGGGCCCAGAGTCAGCAGCCCCTCGGGCTGCCTCCCAGGGAGCTGCATCCTCGCCTGGCTCAGGGACAGGCTGAGGGATCGGGCCCTGGGCCCCACGGCACCCCCAGGGGACGGTGGGCACCGAGGCGAGTCGCCAGCCCTGGAGGCCCACGGCCCGGGGGGACCGCGCCGCCCCTCCCTGCCCCCGTACCCCAGAGCCCCACAGAAAGCCCAGGGGCAACGGCCACCCTTGCTGGCCCGGCCCCATCCCCCGTGGGCTGTGGAAGGCCCTGGTGCCACCATTCAGCCGGTCCTGGGCCCCGGGTGCACCAGACAGAGGGGCTCTGCGTTCCCGTGCGCAGGTCGGGGAGCGACACACCGCCTAGACCTCACTGCCGGGTCGCCAGGCCACCTGAGCCAGCTGCCAGGCCAGCCCAGCCGGCCCGGGTCTGTCTAGTTTGGGCTTCCGGCCTGACGCCTCAGCACCACCTGTCCGTCACCCTGTCCATTCGCGTGCCGTGGGCAGTGACAGGGATCTCCACGGGACGTCTGTGTTGTCTCTCTGTATGTGTGTGTGTGTGTGGAGTCACATGTGTGCAGTCCACACGGGCGCCCAGGGCCGTCTGGCTTTTCTGGCAGAGCCTCTGGGGCAGTGGGAGCTCTGGGCCCCAAGTCCTGCAGAGCCCACGCGTGTCTGCTGGGGACATGGGCCACTCAGCCACAGCTTCCCATCAGTCCTCGTCCTGGAAGCCCAGGGCGTGAAAGCCAAGCTGACCTCAGCCTCCCGCTCCGCCAGGTCTGCCCCTGGCGCCACCTCCGGAGAACAGACCTGGTGCCCATAAGTCCTCGGAAGGCCCAGGTCTCACGGAGGCCCTTCCACAAGCGACACTGTGGGCTGCCCCTCAGTGCCAGGCTCCGGCAGGTTCACAGAGAGGCGAGTGCCTCCCGAAGCCGCCCTGCCTCTGCACACCTGGAAGGAGGGGCTTCCCTTGGTGGCCTGCTGTTCCCGGTCCCCACCAGCTGCTGGGGCAGCACCTTGGCGCTCACTCGGTGCAAGGCTTCTAAGGGCTCCCCAGACAGCAGCTGGGGTTCAGGGAGGGCGCCTGGGCCGGCTTCCAGGACCAGAGGGGGAGTGCCTGGTGAGAGGCCAGGACCCCCACCCTCCGGGCCAGACCGCCTCGGCTCCCGGCAGGTGCCCCGGTCTCGGGTCAGCCTGGCAGCGCGGCGACGACCCCGCCTGCCTGGCCCGCCGCTCTTAGCCCCCCTGGCAGGACTCACGGCAGGGGCGTCAGTCGAGGTGTAGCGCAGGATGACCTGGAAGGGCTGGTGCGCCTGCAGCTCAGGCGGCAGCGTGACGGTGAGCGAGGAGCCGTAGTCAGTGAACGGGTCCACCCTGAAGGCCAGCGGGCCGCAGGCGGACTCGGCGCCGCCGGGTGCCTCGGGGAAGGCGGGCAGAGGGGGCGGGGGCGTAGGCCCGGGTCCGGGAGCGGCGAAGGCAAAGGCGCAGGGCGGCTCGGCGGCGGCGGCGGCGGCGGCGGCGGGGGCGCGGCGGAAGGCGGCCGAGTGCAGGCGCAGGGCCGGGTGCGTGTCGAGCACGAGCGCGCGGGGCGCGGGCCGCAGCGCGCACAGCTCGAGCACCAGGCAGCCGGCCAGCTCGCGCGTCTCGGGCCGCAGCTCCAGGCCCAGCTGCAGGTGGCGGAGCCGGAAGAGCTGCGCGCTGGAGGCCGAGGCCACGTCCAGGGCGGGCGGCGGCTCGGGCGGCGGGCGGGCGGGCGCGGCCTCGGCGCCGGGCGCCTTGCGGCAGCAGCATTGCGCCGCCATGCCGTCGCGCTAGGTGAAATCCATGGGCGGCGCCGCGCCGGGCCGCGGGGAGCCGGCGAGGGGTGCCGGGCAGCGGCGACGGCGGCGGTGGGGCGCGGGCACAACAGGAAGTCGCGACGGGAGCCGCCCGGCCCGGCCCCGCGCCGTGCGCCGCCCCGCTCCGGCTCCGCCTGACCGCCGCCGGGGGCGCTGTGCGCTGGGGACCGGGTGGCCGGGCGCTGAGAGCCGGGGACCGAGTGTCCCGGGGCGCTGTGCGTGGGGAACGTGTGCTCGGGGCGATGTGAGCCAGGGACCGGGTGGCCGGGGCGCTGTGAGCCGAGGGAACTGGGAGCGGGAGAAGCTCTGTACGAGTGGCCGGACGCTGTGCGCGGGAGACTGGGTAGTTGGGAGCACTGTGCGCGGGGTCAGGAGACTGGGCGCTGTGCGCGGGGCGGCAAGGGGATGGCGGGCCCTGTGCCAGGGGCGGGGGCGCTGTGCGTGGGGGTGCAAGGGGTAGTGAGCTGGGATCTGGGGACCTCCGGGCCATTGTGCTCGGCGGACAGGGGCGCCCTGGAGCCAGGAGGCCTCCCTGCCCTGTGCACTTCCTACGTGGCCCGCCAGAGAGACCCCAGCAGGCGCTGCCCCCTCAGAGCCGTTGGGGGCCAGGTCCCCGGGGCAGTGGCTGCTCCGTGAAGCTGGGAAGTGTAGTGTCGGGAGCTCCACAGGATTCACACGCCGGGGGCTGAGGGAGCGATTCCCTTATTCCCCCAGATCACACCCCCGTGAGACCAGTGGCTGTGTGGTCGGCCACGCGGTGTGAGGGGGAGCTCAGGGCTGTGCTGTCAGATCGGGTGGCCGTCAGCCTTGTGTGGCTATTTAGGTTTGAATTAAAATGAGAGGTTCGGCTCCTGGGTTGCCGAGCCTGTTCCAAGGTCTCCGTGGGTGTGTGTGTGTGGAGTGCGTGCGTGGCTGGTGGCAGCCACACTGGATGCAGCCCGTATCCCGTCCTGGAAGGAGGTTCCGCTGGAGAGAGCTGCCCGACGGTGGGCGGGGCCCTAGAGTCAGGTGGGTTGGGAGGTGAGGGCTGGACCAGTAACAGGCCTGCAGGCCCCCATCCCACGTGGGCGGGCCCTGGGCTCGGAGGGGACGCTGCAGACCAGGCAAGACGCCCAGCGAGGGAGTGTCAGGCAGACCCTGAAGCCGTGGCGTGAGAGGGGCCACCACGACGTCGCGGTCAGCGTCGCGTGGGAACGCGGGGCCTCCCCTGGAGAGCACCCAGAGCCCTGCGCGCCTCTGCCTGGCCCGGCTGCTGAGTGGCGAGGGGTGTGGGGCGGCCTGAGGCACCGCGCTTGACCTTAGCATCATCCCTGGGTAGCGCTGAATCTTCTGGACTCAGTGTCCCCTCCTGTAACCATGCGATCGTGCCTGCCCTCCCCCTGTGGGGGTGGGAAGGGGGTCGAGAGGGAGGACAGGTGTCCGCTGACGCAGAGCATGTTCACGGAGGCAGGTCCCCGTGTGCCAGCTTGGCTCAGGGACACAGCCTCTCCCTTGGGGCCCCCACCCCACACGCACGAGGAGCCCAGCGTTCCTGCACTCACCTGTCGGAGGGGTCCGTCCAGGCCAGAGGCCCCAGAGGGAGAGGCCTGGGGTCTGGCCAGCCCTTCCTGCCCTCGGGGGCCCAGTGCCTGCCTGGGTGGCAGGGGCCCCGTGGTGCAAGGGCGGTGCTTGCCGTGGCCCTGCAGGCTGACCAGCCTCACCGAGCTCCATGCCCAGGCCGGCAGGGCGGGGGCAGTGGGGCTCCATGTGGGCACCGGCGCCAGCCCACCCCGCCCTCCCTCAGGCCGGTCAGCCGGCCGCCTGGGCCGAGAGCGAGTTACATCAGGGGCATCTTGCCCTGCTGGCTGGTCCTGCGGACTCGGGGGCCAGGGCCCCCCGCCCTCTCCTGGAGGGCCCTGGGTATGTCCTGTGGCCAGGTCTGCACCCGGGGGTCAGGTGGGGCAGCCTTGCTGGTCCAGAGGAACTGTTACCTCCTTGGGGTTACCCCGGGGGGGTGCCTTCCATCCCCACTTATGTAAAAAGCCAAGACAAGCCAGTCTGGAAGGAACACGCAGACCTGTTCTGAAGTATTAATGCCAGCCCATAGGCACTGGCAGACTGCGAAGCCCACAGCAGACAGCTTCCCTCCGCCCTGCCCCCGTCCCGACAGAGCCGGGGGGCAGCCGTGTAGCTCTTGGCCCATGCGGACCCAACCAGGGCAGGCAGACGTGGGAGTCCGGCTGCTGAGCCGGGGCCTCCCCCCTAGGAATTCTCACTCTCTAGTCTCTATCTGGCTGGCCGGGTGTGCTGAAGCAGACGACGCCCCACCTACACCCCACCCTGCCCTACTGCACCTGGCCTGGGCACCCCGTTTCAACGGGCGGGCTCCAGGGAGGAGTATGGCTCCCTGGCCTCAGCTGCCAGGGGGCAGAAGTGGAGGCGAGGGCTTCCTGGAGGAAGGGGCATTCAGGTGGTGCTGTTGTTCTTTGGACAGAGGTTTTGGGGATAATTGGATCCCTGGCAGGAACCACAGTCGGATGATTCTCAGAACAGAACGGGTGGGATAAGAAGCTGATGCGACCCACAGATGCCCTTCCAGCTGGCCAGGGCTCTGTCATCTCTGCGCCCTCGCCCCCAGGGCCGGGTCAGCAGGTTAGGGGCCCTGCCATCAGACATGCCATGAGGAGGGGTCAGCTGCGGCCCGCAGGGTGGCTGCCGGGGCTCTGGTCCTTGCCCCGAGCCCCCGGCTGGGCGAATCACTCAGCTCCCGAGGCTACAGGTAGAGCCCCAGGGGCTCTTGCCAGGGAGAGAAGGTGGCACAGACCCCCGTGGGGTGGACCGAGTGGCCTGGGGGAGCACGCGGCGGCCGCTGAGCCTTCATCAGGGTGGTAGGGTCGGGTTACAGCTGCGGCTGCGGCTCTCAGGGACGGGGGCCTGGCCTGGCGACCCGGAGCAGGGCTGGGTGTGGCATTCCGAAGGATGACATCGTTCCTGTCGCAGGAGCGAGCGCCTGGGAGGGGGTGGCCCCTGTCACAGCCACACGTGCCCCACTCAGGGTGAGCTTCCCGTTGCCACAGCCCTGGGCTCTGCTGGGGCAGATGTCTTTGTTCCCAGGTAGGATGCGTCCACCTGGGGACACACCCTGTTCCCTGGGATGGGAGGCTGAGTCACCACCGCACACCTGAGGCATCAGGCAAGTCAGGGCTGCTCTGCTGGGGGGAGGGGCTGGCCCTGGCTCCCCAGGGTTCGCTGCTACTTGCTGGGGATCAGGGGAGCAGGCTGGAGCTCAGGCTGCTCTCTGACGCCACCCGCATAGAGAGGGAAAGGAAGCGGAGGGCACAGCCCCAGCGCAGGCAGGGCCACTCAGGGCCTTGCAGGGTGACAGCTCATCCCACCAGGAAAGGCCAGCACCAGTGAGGGGCTGGCAGAGGGTGGGGGCGGGGGGGTGGCGTGAAATGGGTAGCAGAAAGGAAAATGATAAATACAAACGACAGTTATTTTATTCATTGTCTCCTATGTGCTTCTATATATTAACCAGGAACTATATCTAGTCTCTGCAATTCACGCTAAACCCTGAGAAAGAAGATAACTGCTAAGAAGGGCTCCTGGTGGTTGGCTGGGCTCAAACAAACAAAAATAAACCCGGAGCTCAGCAGCCACTTCCACAGAGGGGTTCTCATGCAAACCACACTTGGTGTGAAAACCTCCCTTGCCCTGAGCTGCCGCCTGGATGGAGCCCCGCCCTCTGAGCAGCCCTTATAAAGGAGTTCCTGGAATCCTGCGTCAGCCAATGATACTGCGGCTTGCCCCGTCCAATCAGGTGCACAGCCCTTACCAACCCAGGTGGCTCTATTCTGACCAGTCCGGATAAGTGCCCTTTGGACCAATCAAACCGAGAGGATCTGGAACCCTTATCTGCATGTGGGGGGACCAGGGGCGGGCCTCCTGCCCATATAAGCCGCCCCCGCCCCCGAGTGCCATTTCTCTTTCTCCCCAAGACTGAAAGCTACTTCCCGGGGCTGAGCTCAAATCTGAAAGCTGTCCCGCTGAGCACAGAGCAGCCAAGCAGAGCTTGGAGGAGCCGAGCAGAGAGGGGCCTGGCCCCAGGGCCACCGTGCAGTCACTGTTTGAAAACAGCTGCGCTGTGTGGTAGTTGAGCTGTTTACCAAGAATAGTTTCCTCCTTGGCCGCACCCCAGGTTGGGGTTCCTGTTGGCATTTAATTGGCACTGCTGGCCACATGAGTTGCCCAGTTTTCCCTTTTCTTCTTCCCACTCTCTTATGTAAGTGGTGGTGACGGTGCCCTGGCTGGCGTTGCTCAGTGGGTTCGGTGTTGTCTGCAAACTGAAAGGCCACCGGGTCAATTCCCGGTCAGGACATAGGCCTGGGTGGCAGGCCAGGCGCCTGGGTGGGGTGTGAAACAGGCAATCGATTGACGTTTCCCTCTTTTTATCCCTCTTCCCCCCTCTCTAACAATAAACAAGAATCTTTTAAAAAAGTAAGGTGTGCATGGCGATAAGTTTTCCAGGACCACCTTTAGGCCACAGGATGTCCAGGTGAGGTGTGTGTGACCAGAACTACCCCTAGTACACACGCTCCGGTGCACGGGTGGCTGCCGGACACCCAGCGTGGGCTCAGGACTGTTGCTGAAACCGGCACATAAGTAAGGCATGAGGTGGGTGTGCTTGGCAGTTTGTCACAGCCTTGCACCCTCAAGTCCGCACCACGCAGCAGCTACAAGTCTGGACACCACGGGTGCTCGCCGGCCCGATCCTGCGCTGGGTTCAGAGACCTCAGACGGGGCCACTGCGAGGCTGGAGAAAAGCCGCTGTGGCTGGGCAGGGGGCAGGCACGAGGCTGCCGGCAGCCGCAGGCGTCCTGCCAGCGTCGCCCTCGTCCCAGCGGCCCGGGAGCCAGCGGCAGGGTGGCGGACCTCTGTGACCCTTGAACTTCCTCATCTCCTGACCTTGGCTCCCGGTCTTGATGTCCCTGTAAGATGCTTTTCCGCTTCAAGTTCAGGAGGTTTTGACCTTCCTTGCCCAGCCCTGTCTAATAAGCGAGGGGAGTGCATGGACTACCTCACCCCAGGAAACTCGGAGCCCCGGCTTGGGGGTTGGACTGAGCAACCAGGGCTCACTGTCCGGAGGGCGCCGCGGGCAAGCGGGACCCGGACCGCAGGGCCTCCTCGTACTCCCGGAGCTGAGACCAGAATCCCGGGTTGGGCTCGGCCACGGGGCGGGCGCTCTTCACGGTCTGCAAACAAGGGGATTAAATTAAGCTCTGCGCAGCGCTCGGTGCCAAAACCACAAACGTCCTCCACTCCTGCGCCCCGCCCCTCCAGGAAGACTCGCTCCCACGAGCGGCTCCGCCCCGCCCCGCCCCACCGGAAGGCCCGCCTACCTGGAAGGCCTGCTCCAGGCTGAGGCCACGGTGCCGCATGAGGTAGGCGGTGCAGACGGCGGCCGAGCGGCTGCGGCCGTTCTTGCAGTAGACGAGACAGGCGCCGCCGGCGCGCACTGCGGCCTCCATGGCGGCGCATGTGGGCTCCAGGTGCGCCAGCAGGTCCTCCGCCGGGTCGTCGAACACGGGCACGCGCAGCTCGGCCACGCCGGGCGCGCGCGGCCCGGGCTGCTGGCGCGAGACGTTGACGCACAGGGTGACGCCCGCGCGTGCCAGCTGCTCCGTCTGGGACGCGGCGCGCGAGTTCCCGAGGAAGAGCGAGGGGGCTACGTGCACAAACGGCGGCGAGGCGACCTCGAGACTCCCGAGGCATCCGGCTCGTCCCGAGTCCATGACCGGCGCTCGGGCGGCTGTCCCGGGGGGTCTACATCCGTTCTGTCGGATGGGGGGGGCGCCCCGGGCCCCGAAGACCTCCAAGGGTCGCCGGGGCGTGCAGGATCGGGGCTGTGCACCAGCGGGCCCGCCCACAGGACCCTGGGCATTCCTCATTGGTCAGGCCCTGCGGCCCCTTCTCTGATTGGCTGCCAGTGGGAGTCTGGCAGCCGTTCCGCGAGGCGGGTCTTCTAGAGCTGCAGGTGTAGGTCCCTGGGACCCAGGGAGGTTTCATAGACGGGGACAGCTGCGCTGGAGTCTGTCCAGCGGGCGGGCCAGCGGGGCTGGAGGAGGGGTGGCTGCCGAGGAGAGCAGCGGGTTTTAGGCAGCAGGCTGCAGCAGGCACACCGACGCCCCGCGAGGGTTTGTAACACGCAGTGCCTGGCCATTTGGTCAGGGGCACTGACCTTAGATTGTCCAATTAAAAAAATGACAACAGCCAACACAACAACAGTCCGGTGTTAATAAATCAAAATACCTGTTTTTTGTCAGATGGGTGCTGCGGAGTTTTAGTAGTTAGTGTATGCGCGCCATGAGATGACGGGTGGAAAATCGCTAGTGTGGCAGAGCAGAGGGCCCTGCCGCGGATTCCCGTCCGGACCCTTATCCGTACCCTTATCCGTACCCTCCGTGTCTAGTTGGTGAGCTACCTAGTTTCGTGTATTTTTTTTTAATTTTTAGAGGGAGGGAGGGAGAGAAACATCATTTACCTCCCAACTGGGGACGCAGTCCACAACCCAGGCATGTGCCCCAACTGGGAATCGAACTGGCGACCCTTTAGTTCGAGGGATAACGCCCAACCCTCCGAGCCACACCGGGCAGGGCGGTTTTGTGTGTTCTTCATGACTCCTTCCTGTTGAACTGCATTGACGGCTGAGATGCCCTTGAGTACAGCTTTATGCTTATTCGTTCTGTTCCCTGCTTCCTAATAAATTGCCCTTTGTAGTTTATGCATTTTATTTTTTATCGTAAAACACTGTTCATATAAATAAAGCCATTTACCACGAACTGTTCATCATTTCTTTCTAGACCAGTACTTCTGTTGTTTGTATTTTTCATAGTTTTTAACTTCTTGGGACATCTCTGTAACTTTAAAAAAATCAATGCCATTTAATGTCTGCACAGTTGCCTCTTCAGTAAGATTCGTTGAAAAGACCTCTTCAATAGATTATTTTTCCCTAATGACCAGTACCTTTCAGGGAATGGTTTCAGTGAAAAGTAGCCATCTTGAAGTCTTGCATATATTTATTTAGTTGCAATTTCAATTTTATTGTAATAGTAGTAGAAGGTTTTTCTGATTCCTCGCCATTGTTTACGTAAGATTTGCACTCAATGCTACCAGAGATTCCCCTCCAGTGTGGACCCCACCACCCCTACACACACACGTAGTGCGGGATGAGCCCGACAAAATGAGCCTGTGCAATCCCTCTCTGGGGACCTTGGTCCTCTTCATTCCAGCTGCAGCCACCGAGCATTGGTAACTGCCCGATCTTTCTTGCGACCTGGGGCTCCCTTGTGAGCGAAAGACTCACATACTGGTCTGCAGCCAGGCCTTCATCCGCTGCAGGTCCCCACGTCACCTACAGAGGCCCGCCCAGAACCCACTTCTCTCTTCTGTCCTGGGGGCAGACTCGACGTTTCTGAGTTGGGGAGGCAGTGGGGTTCCCATTTTCCCAAGCTCATGGGAGCCATTGAAGTAGATTTTCTTGTCTCCCAGCTCCAGAAGGGACCCCTGGTTATACATGCAGCCAATCAGTAAAGCTGTTCTCCCGTGATTGCTTCATCGAGGTGTTACCGAACCCCACCAGAAGGGGGCTCCTACCGCGGGCTGCCCATCAGGCAAGTCTCCAAAAGACGGGAGTTCAACGGGGAAGAAAGGAGCCTTTCATTTAACGGCAAGTTTCTGCCTAAAACATCTGGGTAACAAAAGTGAGGGGAAAGGGAACGTCAGAGTATGACACAAATGCGTGTCATTGCAACTACGACGTCGGTTCGAGAACTGAAAATAACAACAGAGATCTGTTCACAGGGCTGCCTGTTATCGCCGGGGCACTGGAAACAGCGGCGAGTTCCTGCCTCAGAGCCGCTCCCTCTAAGGCACCCACAGGAAAGCCACCCTGCCGCCCTCGGCCAGCTCAGTTCAAGGTCGCGCCGGGAACCTCTCCTCCCACCCAACGTGTCGTGAACGTGGGTGGCCCAGTGGCCTCCCGTCGCGGTTGGTAACCCTCCTTGGCAGTAATAGGGGCTTTGTACATGCAATGAAGTCACACTGGATTGAACCAAGTGACGAGCGTCCTTATAGAGAGAGGAAGGTTGGGAGGCCCGAACACGAAGGAAGGAACACCTCCTGTTGGTTTACGCCGCCCGGTTTGTGCCACTTCGTTCTAGCAGCTTTAGGAAACTCATACATCACCCAACACGAAAGCTGTTTAAAAATATTTCTGGCAAATCTGACAATTCGGTGAGATTGGAAAAACAAATCTAAATTCTAAAATGTGGTCCCGGTGACCCTGGATGGCCCCCTCCTCGTGTTCCCGGCCTGGAGGGTCAGGACGAGTCTGATCAAACACTGGCTTTACCGCCACCTGGGGCACGTTGACCCACCCAAAGGCGTGCCTGTTTCCTCGGGGCTCTGCTCGGGAACCGTGGTAGCATTTCGCGCTATGTCCCCGGGGCGCCCTTAGCCCGGAGGCTAACAGCGTCCTCCGGGGGACACTGAGCTCCGTTGCGGGGAAAGACTGCCCTGCCGCGTCCCCGCGCTCTCGCGGGGCTCATATAAGCCAACAGCGCTCGCGGACGTGCGGGGCCGCCGCGGGGTGGGAAGGTGTCACCGGCGGGAGAGGGGGATGGGGTCAAGGGGCAGGGAGCCCCGTGAGGTCACAGAGGGCCACGGCTAGGCCCGACCTCTGGACACCGGGGGGCGTGTCCGGGCTCAGCGGGGCGCGTCTGTGGGCGTGTACGGGCGAGGCCGGGCGGGGGATTGGCTGAGGCCGAGAGCCGCGCCTGGGCGGGGCCCGTCTCCAGGGCAACCCGACGCTCTCGGGCTCCAGCGAGGTACAAGGTGGAGACTGGCCGGCGCGGCGGCGCGGTTGGCGGATCCGGGGCGGTCGCTGCGAGCTCTCCGAGCCTCGGTGCGACCCCGTGGCAGGGGCGCGACCGCGATCCCTGCGGGGAGGCAGCGAGTCGCGGTGAGTCGAAGTGGAGGGAGGTCTCCGAGCTCCACAGAGGCGGCATGGGGGCCTGTGCCTGGGGGGAGCGGAGAGGAGATTTGGGGCCCCACGCGCATGATGGGCTATGAGTTAGGGGTCGGGTGGAGGCCATGACCTCGCGCCCGGCCCCGCAGCCCTCGTGGGCGGACTCCCGAGGTCCCCGGAGAACGGGGAGCCCTTTGTGCCCCCAACTCGGGCAGCTGGCCGGCGCCGGACTAGCCCCGCCGCATGGCTCTAACTAGAGGCCGTGGGAAGGAGGCCCGCCGGCTCTTTCTGTGGCTCCCACCCCCACGAAGGGACAGGAACACCCTCGGAGCTCTGGTGAAGCTTCCCCCGGGGCGGGGGGGGGTTCTAACAAGATGTTGGGGGGCCGCGGCCTGGGGCCCGGTCCGGTTGGGGAGGGGCCCGTTTCTCCGAGACCGATGGCGCTGTGCCCTGTTAGGGGGCGCCTGCCGGAAGCTTCGAGAGCTAACGTGGGTCTCGGGCTCTGCCTGCAGGTACAAAGGCGAGAGACATGGAAGGGGGCTACTCCTCGGACTCACTTTACAAAGCCCCAAACGGCGGCCCGCTGGAGGGGAGAGGCAGCGAGCCTGCTGCCTCTGAGGACCCAGAAACCTGGGCGAGCTCCCTGCTCTTTGCCAAAAGGTGCGAGGGCCCTTCTGTAGGGACATCTGCCTCTGACACTGGGGACTCGCCAGAGCTGGACCCAGCTTTGGGACAGGTGTTAAGAAATCGCTCTAAGTTATTTTATCCCTCAAAAAACGAGTCTCTGGAGAAATGGAAAGACCTCGATGGTGTATCAAAAGCCAGTGAGGAGAATCACCGTAATGGGAGACTGGGCCCGAGCCCGGCCTTTACCCCTTCCTTCTAGCCTGCCCGCCCTGTCCCTGCCTTGCCCCTCCCTGCCTCAGGGACACTTGCCTTAGGGGCTCTGGGTCCGCACAGCCTCTTCCCAGGCCGCCGTTGCCCTGAGAGCCGACCCGCGGCCAGCCCGCTTTGGGCCAGGCACTGCCCTCCGGAGGTGGCCCTGACATCTGAAGGGGGACCACCCTGTCACCCTGTTGTATTTGCCCCTGGTATGGACTGAGCTGTGGTCCCCAGCCCTGAAGTGCCTATGTTGAAGCTCTAACCCTCAATGGGATGGTATTGGGAAAGGGGGCTTTTGCGGGGCCAATGGGTCACATGAGGTTATGAAGGTGGGGCCCCATGGTGGCATTACTGCCCTTCTAAGAAGAGGAAGAGACGGACTAACAGCTTTGCTCCGCACCAAGAGAGGACCCAACGGGGCCGACCTTCACGGAGAAGCGAGTCCGCGGGCACCCCGACCTCAGACTTCCAGCTTCCGGAGCTGGGAGCGATGCCCGTCCGTGGTGTAAGCCCCGCCCATGCTGTTTGCGATAGCCACTGGAGAGCCTGACATTGTCCCCGCTGAACAGAGGAGGAAACTGAGTCACAAGGGAGTAGGAAGACTGTCTGGTTGCAGAGCCGAGTGGCCAAGCTCTCGCCTGCCTTGCCAGCTCTTTCCAAAGAGCCCGCAGGGGCCTTCCAGGCGGATTGGTTGCAGCGGTGATTTCCTTGCTTGATCTCAAAATCATTTTCATTTATTTTTATTCTTAGGAAAATATTTGAAAATTTCTAGTTCTCTTATTCTCATGGTCAGTTATTTGTCCTCATTATCACTGTTCTTTAATTGACAAGTAATGTCTGTGCCACGCAGAAAATGAGAAACTGCTGGTGTGCTGGTTTGCTAGGACTGTAGCAAAGACCACAGGCTGGTGGCTTAGGCAGCAACTCGCTGTCCTCGGTCCTGAGGCCTAAGACCGGGGGGCAGGCAGGGCTGCCCCTTTGAGGGCGTGGCGGGGTGCGGGGGCAGGCCTCCCCCGCATGCAGCCAGCTGTCTTCTCTCCGCAGATGCATCCTCACACTGTGCGCTCTTCCCTGTCCCAACTTCCTCCTTTTATAGGGCAACGGTCACGCTGGATTAGGGGCCAAATAAAGTCACATTGTGCGGTTCTGGAGAGGCAGGACTTCAACATAGGAATTTTGGGGGGTGAGGGCACAATTCAACCCACATGTAAGCAAAAAAAAAAAAAAAGCAAACAAACAAATAAAAAATCAAAGCATATCTGAGCCCCCGGACTTCATGACCGTTGCATGTGGGTATCTGTCTTTCTTGGCTTCTCCCTGCAGACCTGTAACAATGTGGCCAGTAGAGATCCTTGTGTTTGCAGCAGCCCAATCCCTGCTCGTTGGGGGGTGCTTCGGGGCTCTGTGGCTCATGGCTGGCATGTGAGGGCCATCTGGTGGAGGGAGGTCAGAGTCTGAATGTCCCCGTGCCGTGTGCAGCCTGGCAGCAGGGCCGGTCTAGAGGACAGACACCCCGAAGCAGCGTACTGCAGAGAGGTGGGGAGGGGGTGTGTGCTGTGCAGAGGTGGGTCCGCGCTTGAGTTGGGACTGTACTTTTGTTTATTTGTATTTTTTTAAAGATTAAGGATTGTATTTATCTTTAGAGAGGTGAAGGGAAGGAGACAGGGAAACATCCACATGTGGTTGTCTCTTGCGCGCCCCCCGCTGGGGACCTGGCTCACAACCCAGGCCTGTGCCCTGACTGGGAATCAAACTGGCGACCTTTTGGGTCGCAGCCGGCACTCAGTCCACTGGGCCGCCCCGGCCGGGGCAAGAGCAGACAAGAGGCAGCCCGCCTGGCAGACGTCCCCTGCCCCCTCTGGGTGCGCGCTTGCTCGCTCCTGGGTCCCCAGCAGCTGCTCAGGCTGCTCCTCTGTCGTCCCTCCTCTGGAGCCTGTGCTCCTAGTTCTGGGCATAGGTCACTCTGCCAGAGTCGGTCCAGGCTCCGTCCCCTTCCCAGCTCTGCCAGCTCGGGACGGGAGAGCCTGCAGGGGGCGCCCGGGCAGGCAGCCGACACCAGGCTGGCCCAGCGCGCGGCTGGTGCGAGGCAGCCGTCGGTCCTCTGCCCGGGCTGCTGCCAGGCCACCCACAGGCAGACTTCCCCTCGCCAGACAGACTTGCTGTGCTTCCCGCGTCCTGTGTGGCCCTGGGCAATCACCACACCCTCTCTGCCTCAGTTTCCCTTTCTGGAGAATGCGGGTACCAGCAGCCTCTGCCCCAGGGTGGTTGGGGGGATGAAGGGGGTGGAGAGGGGTTCTCACTCTTCAGGAGTCCGGCCAGCTCAGTTCTCCCAGCCTCCGCCTTTCCCCCTGCCCCCCAGGAACGTGCCACCGGCCGCAGAGGACGGGGAGGAGCCCGGCTGCCCCCTCGGGGAGCAGGACCTGCAGGAGGCCCACGTGCAGCTGGTGCACGGTGTGCAGGAGTGGCCGGACGGCTGCGTCTACCGAGGGCAGTTCGGGCTGGACATGAAGATGGGGTACGGAGAGTTCTCGTGGCCCACGGGCGAGGTAACTGGCTCCCGACGCCTCCCTGCCCCTTGCCCAGGGCGCGGCCAGCCAGAGCCCTTCTCGCTGCTTCCAAAGGGGTGCGATGGGAGGGAGGCGGCCAGGCTGAGGTCTCTCCTGCCTGAGGAGCCCTGGGCCAGGCCCCGGGCGCACAGGAGCCACCAGGCGACGTGGCCAGCACTGAGGCAGGAGCGCAGGGCCGGGCGCCCTGCCCTGGGGCTCTGCTAGCCAACGCTGGTCAGCGGGGCATCCGTGGCGCGAGCACTGGGCCCGTCCAGATTTGTTTCTTCATCCTTGGCTGCTTTCTCTTCTGCCTGGCACGGTGCCGTCCAGGGTGGGGCTGCCCTCTCAGGGCCGTGGGAGGTTTGGGTACTTGGAGCCTTCCTCCCGACGCCAGCTTCCCCCTGAGAAGTGAGAGCACAGCTGGGGGCTCCGCCAAGCAGCAGCTTGGGCGGCCACGGAGGCTGGCGGAGCAGAGACCAGAGGGGAGGGTGTGCCGCTCTCCGGCAGTGGCCTTGAGTGCCCGACTGTATTTGAAGAGCAGGACCAAGCGTGTCTGCGCTGCCGGTCAGAGGAGGCCCGAAGGGGTGGACGGAGGCAGGGACAAGGGCCCCAGCGGACAGAACCCGCTCATGCTGGGAAGCGAACGGCCCCCAAAGGCCTACGCAAACAGTTTGCAACGTGCAGGCTGTTCCTTTTTAGCTGAGCGGACGTTGGCACGCCCCACGTCGCCGTACTCAGTGACTGCTGTGGGAGGCCGCTGTCCCCAGCCTTGGACTTCTCTGCCAGCCAGAGTCCAGCACAGCCAGACCCTCAGGAGCAGTAACCCGAAATTAGACCCGGCTGAAACGGAGGGGCTTGTCGGCTCTTGTAACTGGAAGCCCCTCACCGGGGCCCCACAGGCCTCCACGTGGCTGGGCCCAGGGTTCTGATGACCAGTGGAGGGGGCGAGGCTGGCCTTCCACCACGGGCACGCCCGGCGGGGTGGCATCACACACGACTGCAGGAGAGAAGGCCGCAGCAGGAGGGTGGTCTGGCTCGGGGACGGGTCCTGTGGCCGAGCCCAAATCAAGCCCCGGCCTGGGGGTCAGGAGTCCTCGGTTGGCCAGCCTTGGTCGCGTGTGTGGGGGAGGGTCAGTCCACTGAAAACCCCACGGGGAGTCAGCTCAGCTGCCAGAGGGAAGAGAAGGGATGCGAAGCAGGCAGCAGTGTGTCCCCTTTGTGCTGAGTGGGGACAGGCGCCGAGTGCTGTCTAGCTCATTTCTGGGGCGCATGATGGTCGAGTCTGGTGATTGGACATTGCATTGTTTTCTTCCTGGGGTCCCCGCGGAGGGACAGGCTCCAATAGGCCCACCCCTGACACAGACGGAGGCCCAATACTGAGGAGTTTAAAATCAAAGCCAAACCCACGTCCCTAGCCAGGCCCACAGCCCTGACCCCAGGGCCACACGGGTGACCTGGTGGCTGGTGGCCCCGCTCCCCCCGGGCCTCCTGCGGCCTGGGGAGCCTGAGCGGAGGCCGGGCAGGGTGAGGGCTGAGGCCAGGCCAGAGCCCCAGAGTGGACCCAGCCTCTGCCCAGACCCCGGCGGGCGCGGACCTCGTCAGGTCCTGGCCTTTCCCTTCCTGACTTCCGCTATGAGCCAGGCAGGAGGGGGCGTGGCCATCAGGGCGGACCTCCTGGGGCCCCCTCTGCATGATTTGAGCGACCAAGCTCTGTCCACGCGGGCCACCTGAGCTTGAAGCGGACCCTGCGGCCAGGCAGCCCCTGAGTTTGCAAGCCCAGCGGCCCCCAGCGGACTCCTGGCTGGCCAGGCGTGGAGCTGAGCTGGCAGGGCGTCCTGTGGGGGTCTGGGTGGCGAGGGCGGCTTCTCAGGTCCACGTCTCAGAGCGCTCTGTCCACAGTCCTACCATGGGCAGTTCTACCGAGACCACTGCCACGGCTTCGGCACCTACACGTGGCCGGACGGCTCCCGCTTCACCGGCACGTTTTACCTCAGCTCCCGGGAAGGCTATGGCACCATGCACACCAAGGCCCGGGTCTTCCAGGTGAGCGGACGGGGCCCGTGTGTGCAGGTGAGGGGGGGGCCCCTATCTTCAGGCCACTGTACAAAAAAATATTTAGGTTGTGGGGCAGTTGGTGTCCTATTTATATATACATTTGTATAAAACAGCGCCAATTAGAAGGTGCACAAGAGTGAAAATGAAAAAAAGAAATGGGAGGCCTCTTCTTCCTGGGTCCCCAGAGCAGGACTGGGATGTTAGCAAGTTGCATGTTTCTTTATATAGAACAATAAATGCACCTAAATATTTACTTTCTTGCCCACAGCTTGAATCATTTGCTGTATGTTGTTTTGAAACTTGCCCCCTTCCCCCCCCCCCGAGACCACTCCTTATTTTGCAAATACAGATACCTTTTCCCTCGTTTATTTTATTACGGCGTAACGGACAGGAAAGCCCCCCCACGTTGCTGTGCAGCTCCGAGGCCCGACAAGCCCCGAGCTGAGCGACTGCCACCCCCGGCGCTGCCCGCGCCCCATCGAAACGCGCCTCCCCTGCTCCGCCCCTCCGGCCCCTGTCGGTCCCTTCTGCCTCTCAGGCTGCCTGTGCGAGAACGCCGTGGGCGTGGCGTCGTGCACTATGTCACGCGTTTCAGGCCCCGTGCGCAGGCGCATGCGGGGGCCTCTCCCTCCCCCTGGCTCCGTGGTTTTTCCTTGCAGGGCCCACCCGGCTCTCCGCTCCCCAACTGGCCGGCATGTGGGTGGTTTCCGGTTTTCGGCAATTGTGAACAAAGCTGCTTCAACATGTATATAGGCGCGGGCCTGTGGGTGCTTGTGTGCACGCGTGCGTGCATGTGTGTGTGAACACGCTCCCACGTTTCCTGCTGCCGCCGACCAATCCCCCTCCACCGCCAGCCCTTATCAGCCACCGATCGATGGCTTTTTGTCACCGTGGTTTCCCCTTTCCTGCAGTTCCATGTAAATGGAATCGCCCAGCATGCAATACTTAACGCTTGATTTTTCTTGGCTTAGGGTGTGATTCTTTTGAGATTCATACGTGTTTTGCATGCATCTGTAGTCCATGTCTTTATGTGAAGGAGCTGTATCCCATCCTACGGACATAAGTCGTGGTCTGCTGATTCCCCGACAGCGGCAGCGTTGCCTTCTTTCAAGTGTGTGGTTACCACGCGTGCCGCGGCTCAGAGCTTTCCATTGCAGGGCTTCGTGGGGACGTCGGTCTTTATTTTCACTGCGAGAAGAATATGACCGGGCAGCAACCATGCGTTAAGTGTGTGGCAAGTTTTGCAAGAAACTGCGCAACGGCTTTGTGAAGCAGCTGAGCCTTTGCCCGCCTCGCCCGCCACTGCGTGAGGTTTCCAGCGGCTGCGCGGCTCTGCCAGCACTTGGTGTCGTCCGCTTAAGACTCTAGCCGTTCCCACGGGTGCCTTGCGGTGTGAATTTGCGACACCCTCATGCCCCGTGATTTGAACGTCTTTCGCCTTCTAATTTGCCGTCTGTCTCTCTCCTGTGGCGAAGGGCTTCTTCCTGTGCTTTGCCTGTTGTGTTTAACGGGGTTGTTTGGGTTCTCATTAGGGGCAAAGGTAGGTTTATGGCTGTTCCTATGGAAAATAACACAGTCGTTAGGGAGCGATAATGCAAGAGAAAACTCTTGTGTCTCACAGACAACCGTAACCCTCCTTTTGCCCCGCCCTGTGTTTTGGGCGCAGTATTTACCAATTCTGTGACTTACAAACAGTTCCTTCCAACACTGGCTGCCGTTCTCTTTTCTTTACAGTGTCTTTTGAAAATCAGACTTTTGAGAGTTGTCCCAAGGCCCTATTTATCCATTTTTCTTCCCTAGTCTTGGTTTGGTTTTTGGGGGTTTTTTCGGTGTCCTATTTAAGAAATTGTTGCTTAACCCAAGGTTCCCAAGATTTTCATGTGTGTCTTTGTCTGATTTATGGCTCTAGTGCTTACATGTCAGCCTGTGATTCATTCTTGACTAATCTTTGTGTTTCCCAGGAAGTGACGGTCACTGCCCCCCGGCGTCCCCTCCCCCATGTGCATATCCACTTTTCCCAGCCCCATCTGCTGAAGAGACTAAGCTTTCTCCACTGCTTAGCTTTTGCGTCTTTGTCAAAAATCACATCTGGAGACACGCGTCCAGTTGTCCGTCCGGGGGATGACAGAACTCAGGCGCTCGCGTGTCAGCTGCCTCACGCTGCTGCTGCTGCTGCTGCTGGGACGGCCCCACTGACCTTTCTTCTCGCGGTTTTAGAGAATGTCAGCCATCACCGTCCACAGCTGTTGTTCCGTCAGAGGATGCACGACATCCTCTGTGGTTCCTCCTTCCCTTACGAACTAGGGTTACTTTACTGGTTGCCACGAGGCAGTTCGTATGACAAAGGCAAGACGTGGACTTCATCTTTTTTCTTTTGTTCCGGTTTTCAGAATAATAAATCGATTTCTTAATGCCCTCAAGAGGCGGTCAGTGATAGTTTATTTTTCAGTAGCTGTATAAACTTTTGGGTTTTAACACATGTGCTGTGTTTCAGTCCCTGGCAGCTGTTGTGCTTTCTGACGCCCAGACTGTCCGCCCTGGTCAGGGAGTGTCCGCCCCGGTCAGGGGGAGCCTCTGTGGCCCCACTCCTGCGATTTGGACACAGTGCAGCAGGTTGGGGTCATTTCCTTGTGTTCTGCCCTGACGAGGAGTCCCGGGCTCCTTCACGAATTTCCCACCTGGATCCAGGACGGACTGTTTCTCTGTGGAGCCTGCCCCCTGTGGCGGGACACGGCATTTAGGAACACAGTCTGTGTGCTCCTTCCTGCTCTGTCGGGTGGTTGTGACGTTTAGGCCTTTTTGGTCGCCTAAATGATGAGGAAAGACATCCTCAGTTGCTCCTGATGGCTCCAGCCCCCCGTTTAGGGAGGTAGGGCTTTCTTTTTTCTGTTATTTTTTAAATTTTTAATTTATTTTTAGAGAGAGGAGGGAGGGAGAAAGACACAGAGAGAAACATCAATTTGTTGAATCTCATGCACCCCCTGCTGGGGAACTGGCCTGCAACCCAGGCACATGCCCTGACTGGGAATCAAACCAGCAACCTTCTGATTCGAAGGCCAGCACTCAATCCACTGAGCCACGGCAGCCAGGGCTGGGGTGAGGCTTTCCGTCACAGCTACAGCCCTGTGTCTGCCTGCTTTTCTTTTTGTTCTAACGGTCTTGGTTTCTAACTATTGACAAAACTTGCCACGGCTCTGTCTCGGACCAGTGGGTAATAGTTTCTGAATCGCCACACAGCTTCAGGTGGCTTCTGAAGACAGTTCCGGGTCCCTCGGCCATCCTTTCGTGCCCCGCCTGCCTGCCAGGGGCATGGGGTCATGTCACCGAAAGCGGTTCCTCCCGGGGGCGGACCCACCCCCTGGATGCAGGAGCCATACTCACCTGTGTTAGTTTGCTTCCGTGTTTCAGGATTCTAGCGCTAGAATGTTGCTTTAATTTAGTTGTGTAACGATGTGAAAACTGACGTTTTCCCAGTCCGATCTCGCACGCAGGCCCACGCAGAGGAGAGCGCTCCTGCCCCTTCCTCTGGCATCCAGAGCCCGCCCTCCTCGCGGCTGACATTTTAGAGTTTTATCTTCCCATCTTCAAACTTCGAGCAAAGGTGCACACATGTTCCTCCCCGCCCTCCAGGGCGGCTCGTTCTGCCCCATTTCCTGAGGTCTCGCAGGACGGCCACCAGACGGCGCTGCGATCCCAGCTCGCTGGCAGACCTGCCATGCTTGCCCGTGACCTCGGCGCTGCTCCCCTAGAGGTGTGGTCGTTCGCTCAGAACGAAACACTGTGGACCCTGAGAAGATGCCCACCAAGACAGGCTCCTGGGGGCCAACTGGGCTCAGATTAAAAAACAAACAAACAAACAAACACAACAGAGCCTCGCAGACACATCTGCCCAGGGGCCGCTCACACAAACCCCGCGTCAGGGAGCAGCCTGCCCCGAGCGGCCGCCCACGCTGTGCCCTGCCCTCTGTGCCCCCAGAGGAGCTCCTGGGATCCTGTTCCAGCCGAGAGGACTGAGGCTGCCCCATCCAATCAGAGCTGCGCAGCTATATCCCCCCCCCAACAACATCTCCACTGACCAATCAGAGCTGCGCCATTCTGACCAATCAGGACAGTGTCTTTTGGACCAATCAAACTGTGTGGATTTAGAGTCTTCATTTGCATGAGGACAGACCAACCGGGGACCAGGGATGAGAACTTCGGTCCATATAAGGCAGCTCCCCAGGGGCTTGGGAGGGCGGTTCCCCTTTGCACAGGACAAGGGGCTTCTCCGGGGGAGTTGGAACACTGGCGTCTGCCGGTGTCTCCCGCTCCGCGGCGGGGCGCCTGGCCGCCGGGCGGTGTGCCTCCATGGAGCTGCACTGCACTGAGTAAAGCCTCCGCCACTCAGAGCAGCTCACGGGGGGTTCCCGCCAGTGTCGAGCTGGCACCAGGTGGCCCTTGCCTGACAACACATACAGAAAACAGAAAATTGAAAACCTCAGGAGGTGCACCTGTGGACTCACCCTCCTTGTTAATCACCAAGCGGGGGGCATTATTGTGTGTTGTGATGTCCTCTGTGTGACCGCATTTGTGGTCACAGCTGTGCTGTCGGGTTATGTCCTCACGAAAGGTCTCGACCTAGAGCCCGGGGCCGGGCTAGGAGCACCTGGGGCTGCACACAGATTTCCAGCGCCTGCGCCGCTCAGCCCCCTCCCCTGCCCTGCCTCCAGCCTTTCCTCCCGGTGCACTGGCGTGGCGCTTACCCCTGCCCCGCGACACGCCGCACGGCCTCCTGAGCACCTGCCTCACCTCTCTCGACACCCAGTCCTCCCTCCCGCCCCACTGGGCCAGTGTCACAGACTCTGGTGGCATTCGTGCCCCTGTGCCATTCCACAGATTGTTCCAGAAACACCCCAGCCCCCATCCCGACCCCTTTGCGTGGCGAGGTCATCGTCAGAGCAGTTTGGTCCTTCATTCTACCTTCCGCCACCTGTCGTGGGCTGGGCTTTCCCTGTGGGCAGGCCGGGCGTCACGGGGCGTGACGAAGCCTTGTGGTGGCGGCACACGGCCCCGGGGCTGCAGCTGGGGCCGCGGGGGCAGGCGGATCGAAGGGGGGAGAGGTGATGTGGGAGCCGCCGATCCCAGCGCGCAGGTGAGGGCGTGCTCAGGAAGCAACGCGCATGTCCCGCTGTTTCAGGCCTGGATGGCTTCCTCTGCCACCCCACGACCTCCAGGCGCCCTTCCACGCCATCGCGGGAAAGATCGGTGCCTGGGAACTGGGCGTTTCTCTGTGCCGCCCGCAGGGAGCTCCGGGCCCAGGTTCCCTTATTCTGGGGCCGCTTTGTGGCTTGTTGTTTCTCGCTTGTTTCTCCCAGCTCTTCCAGCTCCACACCTGCTGGAAGCATCCAGAAAGGCCCAGGAATTGCTGCATTCAGCCAGGTTCACGGGCAGCAAGGACCGGCTCCTCCTCGGTCCCACCTGCCGGGACCTGCCTGACCCTAAGCCTGGTGCCTGCACCGCACGCTGCCTGGGCGCTGGGCTGGCTCCCCAGGCTGGAGCTGCTGAAACGAGCCCCTCGTGCCATTCCCGCCAGGCTCCCCCCTCGAACCCTCTGGGCAGGCCCTGTCTGTGATTAGCGGCTCCTTCTCCGAAAGGAGACCCCTCCAGGTCCGCAGCACGTCCTGCACGGATGAGCCCACGCCAGCACGTCGGCCTCTATCCCTGTACGCAGTCCGCTGCCCAGCTGAGCCCTCCCACGGGTCTCGCTTCGCAGGGGCTGTACCGAGCGGACCAGCGCTTCGGGCCGGGCGTCGAGACCTACCCGGACGGCAGCCAGGACGTGGGGCTGTGGTTCCAGGGGCACTTGCTCAAGCTGTGCATGGCGGTGCCCGGCGGCTTCTCGGTCCGCAGCTACCCCGAGTTCGCGGGCTTCCTCACGCACGCTCCGGCCAGAATCAGCGTCCCCGACGAGGGGACCCTGCGGTGGGACCTGCACGAGGAGCAGGACCCCTTCTTCTACGACTACAAGCGGCTGCTGCTGGACGACGACCTGACCCTGCCCCCGGACGTGCATGTCTACTCGACCGACCACGCGCACATGCCCGTGCCCCGCACCCTGCGCAGGGACCTGGACGCCCGTCTCTTCCTGCCTGGCGTCCCTCCGTTTGTGGAGGACGGGGAGCCCTGGTTCGTCAAAAACGAGACCCCTCTGATGGTCAAAATCCAGAAGCAGGCGTACAAGTTCAGGTAATGCCGCGGCCGCTCCCATCCGGAGCCTGGGCGGCGCGCCCCGCCCCCCCCGCCCCCCCCGCCCCCCCCCGCCTGGCGCCCAGCGCTGTGGCGCCCGGGGGTCTGCCGTGGTGATGCAACGGGCTCCTCCTTTCAGCTGACACAGCCCGATGGCGGGGGAGGGAAGCCGGTGCTGCTGGGCCGGGGCGGCGGGTGGGCCGGAGGGCTGCGGGGGCGGGGCCGGCGGCCTGCTCCGGGGAAGGCCCGCTGGGGGCTGCTCGGGGAGCGTGGAGCCAGGGCCTGGGGTGGGGGGCGGTGGGCCTGGGTGAGCTCCTGAGCCCGAGGAGCAGAGCTCGCATCCCGGTGCAGGGGCCTCGTCCGTCTCCTCCGCGTGGCCGGAGCTACTGCCCCGGCCCTGCGCAAGGTCGTGCCTGTGATTAGTGGTCAAGTCGCTGGACAAGGTCCACACACAGAGAAGGACCTGGTATCACTGGGAAGCCTTAACGCGAATCTGGACAGAGAACCAAGGGTGGGGGCGCCAGGCAAGGGAGGGCTGAGGGCTGGCCAGGCCTCTAGCTCCCCCAAAGATGGCCGGGCAAAGGCGGAGCCGCTCTGCCGGCTTCCGGACACCCCCGCCCCACAGCCCTGGGGGAGGTAACTGCGCCGAGGGGAAGCTGATTTCTTAAGCAAAATTTTCAAGAATACTTGAATCCCTTTCTTAAACGTCGTCTTCAGATATCACTAAGCGGTTTTAGAGTGTGTATTTTGTGAATACCAGTGGCTACGTATGTGTGTATCCATCAGTCCATCTGTCCATCCGTCCTTCCATGTCCATCCGTCCGTCATACCCGCCCATCCATCCATTGAGTCCCTGACGTATCTGTCCATCCATCACGCAAACATCGGCTGAGCCCATAGTTTGCGACTTTCAGGCCCAGGAGTTGTCATAAAGCCACAGTTCTTGGCTGGGAAGGGGGTCTGTGCCCACAAGAAGCTTTTGTGTGTATGGTGGGTGGGCTTTGGGCCTTGTGTGCTCTGTACTCAAACAGGAAAGCGAACGAGCAGAGGTCGGCTGCGGTTGTTTGGTGCCAAGGGCCAGGCCTGTGTGAGCACCTGCCCCTTCCCACCCAGGTGCCCAGCTGCGAGAGCCCCTTCCCCGCACACACACAGGGGCCGAATAAACTAGGGACGCACAGGGTCCACTCGCAGCCTTTACTGCTCAGGGCGGGCGCTTTGCCTGAGCATCTTCGCCCGCAGACAGTGTGTCCCACCCTGTACCACGTCCACGCTGACCCCAGCTGGCCAGCAGGGCAGCCCCCAGGGCTGAGGGGGCGGGGCCAAAAGGGAGGCTCCTCGGGCGGCAGGCGCCGGGCCCACGGGAGCCCCCGTGTTGCCAGGAACGTGAAGGCGCACACCTGCTGGAACATGGGCGCCATCCTGGAGGGGGACCGGAGCGGCTTTGCGTACCACGGGCCCAGGGAGCGGCTGTCCAGGGAGCTGATCCTGAAGGCCGAGGAAGGGAACTACGACTGGATTTACGGGATCCTGAGGGACAGCCTGGCCAGTCCCGATGTGGCAGACGTGCAGGGCTACACCGCGCTCGCCGCGGCCGCCGTGAGCGCCCCTTCCCGCGCTGTCTGCTCAGGGTGGCCCTCGAGTGGGCGGGGGCCGTCCCCTCTCCCCTCGCTGAAGCCACAGTCCTCCCGGTCAGCCCCCGAGGGGGACGTCCAGGGCCACGTGGGAAAGGGTGAGGGCACGTAGGTCTTCTCTTGCCTCGGTCGCATGCTGGCGTCCCTTGGCCGAGCGCGAGCGAGGGCGCGAGGCCGTCTCAGCCGCGGCCGGCGGGGCCGCGTTCGGGGAGGCTGGTGCCGCGTGCGCGCCCCTCGCCCGTCGCCCCTTGCCCCGCGCCCCTCGCCCCTCGCCCCGCGCCCCTCGCCCCGCGCCCCTCGCCCGTCGCCCCGCGCCCCGCGCCCGTCGCCCCTCGCCCCTCGCCCCGCGCCCCTCGCTCCGCGCCCCTCGCTCCGCGCCCCTCGCCCCGCGCCCCTCGCCGAGGCAGCCTGCCGCCCCCGTGAGACCAGCCTCCTCGCTCCAGGTTCACTGTCACACCGACATCGTCACCCTGCTGCTGGACAACGGGGCCGACGTGAACAAGCGCACGGACGAGGGCCTCACGCCTCTCAGCATGTGCTTCCTCCTCTACTACCCGCCCGGGTCCTTCAAGCCCAACATCGCCGAGAGGACGCAGGTCAGCCCGCGGGCCCCGCGGCCGCTCGGCACCCGGCGTCCGCCTGCCCCCCGTCCCCCATGGCACGCCCCTCAGTCTGCCTGCCCAGCGGCCCGCCAGCCTCCCCTGCTTGCATGGACCGGGTTCAGATGGGGTGAAACCACCAGGCCTGTGGCCGGGAAGCAGGAAGCAGGGATGGAGCCTGCACGCAGGCCAAGGAGCTCGGAGCTCGATGCCAGGACGCTGAGGGACGTGTGTCCCTAAGCCATGTGCACAGCCTCTGGGGCCCTGGAACCCCGCTGTGGTCCTCAGGAAAGGGGGCACAGGAGAGGGAGTAGGGAGGCCCGCCTCTGCCGAGTGGCCTCCAGTAGCGGCTTCCCAGACCGACAGGGACGCGGGCTCGGGGCAGTCTGTGGGGTCAGCGGAGGAAGGCGCAGAGGCGGGCGGGGACCGAGGCGGAGCGTCCTCAGGGGCGCGGCACCTAGAGGCGTCCTCATACGCTCGGAGTAAATTAACTTCCTGATGGCGGAATCGGGCCCACAAAGCCCTTTAATTCTATTCTTGAATTTTTTGTAAAAATCAGTCCCTTTGCCTCTAAACAAAGCTGGCTGTTTGTCCTCTGTGTCGGGGCAAGGCTGTCCTCTGACCCCTGCACTGCTCCACGGAGAGCGGCTCACAGACCTGAGCGAGCAAGGGGCCCCCCGGAGCAGGGCCGTCCCGGTGGGTGACGCCGTGGGGACACGGCCGTCACGCTGGTTTGTGTTGCAGGCTGCAGTCAGGCCGGGCTCCTAGGCCCCCAAACCTCAACTATTTGCAGAAAAAAAAAAAAAACTCTCAGGTAGCTAGGCCCACGACCTACCACTTCTGTGGACCCTGAGAAAGACAATGCCCACTAAGAAGGGCTCCGGGAGGCTCACTGGGCTCATGTGTGTAAAAACCAGGGCCTCATGGCCACTTCTGTCCAGGGGCTGCCCACACACGCTGTCCGTCGGGGGGAGGGGGCAGCCTGCCCCAAGCTGCTGCCTGCGCTGCCTCCTGCCCTCGGAGCTGCCCTTATAAAGGGGCTGCTGGGATCCTGGGTCAGCCAATAGGACTGAGGCTTTCCCCATCCAATCGGAGCTGTGCAGCTATATCCTCATCAGCTTGCAAGGAAAACAGCTCCACCCCGACCAAGTGGGACAGTGTCTTTTGGGCCAATCAAACTGCAAGGATTTGGAGTCCTCGTTTGCATGAGGAGGGGCCAATCAGGGACCAGGGGCAGGGCTTCTGTCCATATAAGCAGCATCCCCAGGGCAGTGCCCTCTCCTTTTGCACTGGAAGGGGAAGCTCGCTGTGTTCCTTTGCCTCGAGCTGAGCGGCAGACAGGATGTGCTTTCCTGGGAGAAGAGCAGGGCTGTCCAGCCAGCGAGGGGCCTGGCCCCAGGGCCACCTCACAGCGGAGCTGTGTCCCCATTGAGCTGTTGGTACTGAATACAGTTTCCTTCACTGCACCACAGCGGGGGTGCTTGTTGGAGCTGAATCGGTGCCAGTGACCATCAGTTGGCACTTCAGTGCATAACTAGTGGGGAGACGCTTTATGGCCTTGTCCTGGCGTTGCCTACCGGCGCGTGTCTGGTGCTAGACGTGTGGTGCTTTGTGTGCTGTTGCCGCTGGCGCCTGCTGTGGGGCTCAGGTCTGCGCGTGGTGCCTGCAAGTGCTGGCTGCCCCGCTGGGTTTTTAGGAAGGCGCCAGGGCACTCCTGTGTGAGCATGCTCGGCCACGCGCGCCGACCTTTGCCCAAGGGGGTGTTCAACGGGACGGCCACTCCCATCTTTTTCTTCCTGATGATGTATTTTTTCTGTACTTCCCCAAGGAAGTCCCCAAACTCGTAACTCAGCCCCGCGCCTCCACGTTCCACTACTCAGACGCTGCCCGTCGTGAAGAGCTAGTGCTCACGCCAGGCAGCCAGGAGTCCACGTCGCTGAAGAGCAGCATCAGCGACCCGGACAAGGGGCCGGCCGACGCGTCCGGGAGCCTGGACAAGCACACGCCGTGCAGCGAGCCCAACGTTGAGTACAGCCCGTGCATGCAGAACTTCGGCAAGCTGTTGCAGGACAGGCTGGAGAGGAGCGTGGAGGCCGGCAGTGCGCGCGCGGCGCCCTTTGGCGAGACCAGCTCTGACGGAGGGGCCGCGAGGCAGAGGGCGCTGTCCACCGTCAAGTAGGTGTCTGGGGTGTGGGCGGCGGGGCTGAGGGTCGCGTTCCAGGGGAGTCGCAGGCTCAGCTTCACTTCCCCGCTGCCCCGGGAGAGGGTGTTTGTATTGCCCGCGCCTTACCTCTAATGGGTCTCGGGGGGCCGTGTCTGGCGGCTCGGTGCTTGGGGCCTGGCTATGGCATCTGAGGGACAGACAGGAGAGTCCCGGAGCACGTTCCCGACCGGGATGTGGGTGGTGGGCACCACCCACGGGCTCACACACGTTCACCCCCCACACTCGCCCCCGAGTCTAGGCCAGTGGTTCTCCAAGTGTGCCCCATGCGCCCCGGGCGCCTCAGACCCATTCTGGGAACCTGCGAGGTGGAAACAATCGTCACAGCAACCCTAAGACGTGTGTGACGGTCGCGTGACACTGCTTCACACACACAAGAGAACGCTGGTTCCACCTGGAGTTTGCCTTGCGGATGCCGGAGAAGTGACTGCTTTATCACATCCTGATGTGGAGCCCGTGCCTCGTGACGTTTTCTGTGGCACGAGGCGGAGGCTGCCTGGAGCACATCTACCTCGAGCCCCAGTGGGAAGGTTTGGGGGGGAAGCACTTCCGTGGCTCGAGCCGCACAAGGAGTCACTGTCCTCTCCCCGTGGGCCGCCGTGTTTACTGGACAGAGGGACCAGATGGCGCACAGCACCCGTCACTCTCCTGAACAGTCAGCTTTCGCTCTAAGGGGGACTGTCGATGCCGTGCTGACGGTGATGGTGCCCCAGCTCTCCCAGGAGGATGCGTCCCGGAGCGTGCGCACGGCCACGGGGTGTCTGTGCCACGTGTCAGCCCGGGACGGTCTCAGCGAGGCCGCCCGTGCGCACGGCCACGCCCGGGGCCGCAGGCTCGCGCGGGGCGGGTCCCCCATGGGGCGGGGGGTTCTGGTGCGGCCGGGTGCGTGTCGTCCACAGAAACGTTCCACGTTAACGTGCAGTGGTTCGTTACTATTTAAATGTGTTGGTAAATTTTTTTTAACTTCTCAGGTTTTAAAATTGGTAACACAGTAGACAGGGGTGGTCGGAATCCACGTGAACAAAAGCGTTCTGGGGTCCTCAAAGAATTGTAAGAGTGGAAAGGGGTCCTGAGGATGGGAAGTTGAGAACGGCTCCTCTAGACTGGCCTGGCTCCCCCGCGGCCATCCTGCCAGCCTCACCCCCGTTCCCTGCCGGTGGCGGGGACATCGTGGCCGGAAGACCTGCCCCCGGCCGTGCCCTCTGCCGCCCTCGTCGCTGGCTCAGCTCCTCAGCGCAGCCACCCACCCACGCCTGCCAACTGCCCAGCCCACCCAGCTGCCTACTCAAGGCCCAGGGCTCAGCCTGGCTGCCCCCAGCTCTGTGTGCTTCGTAAGAGATGTGCATGTGTGTGCCAGTGTGTGCGTGACCATGCCAGTGCATGTATGTGTGCGCGTGAGTGGTATATGTGTGGGGGGGTGCATGTCTGGTATGCCTGGTGTTAGGTGTGTACATGTGTGCTTGTGAGTGGTATATGTGCGTGTGCACATGTGTGTGCATGTCTGGTGCGCGTGGTGCCAGGTGCTCTCCACCCTCACCTCACAGCCCCCAGGAGAGAGGGCTGGTCCCCACCCCACACTCCACTTCCCGGCAACCTGAGTGAGGTTTAGGGATCTCTGAGGTCCAGAAACTGGCAGGGCCACAGCCGGACGAGCCCTTGGCCAGACCGGCCCACCTACAGCGGCCTGGGGACAGGTGGGTGGCTCTGGCCCCAGGGTAGGGGCTGGCGGTCTCGCAAGGGCAGGACTCGGGGGCTCGGGGTGTCACAGCCGAGGTCCGTGCCTCCCGAGCCTCCGGCGGGGGGAGCACCTGCCTGACCAGGGGTGCTGTCCAGGCAGCCGCCTGCGCTTCCCCTCCGGCCTGAGCCCACGTCCTGCTGATCCTTCCAGACACAGAAACAGGTGGCTGACCATCACCCTCCTGCTGCAGCGCGGCGCTGACCCCGACCTGTGCCGCGTGCCCATGCAGGTCCTGTTCTTCGCGGTGAAGGCCGGCGACGTGGACGGGGTGCGGCTGCTGCTGGAGAACGGGGCCAGGACCGACCTCCAGCTCCCCCCGGAGGTGGGCCCCCGAGGGGCCGGCGGGGCAGGGCGGGGCGCGCGGCAGGCGGGGCCGGCCGCGGGGGCGCTCGTGGTGTGAGGCAGGGCGCCTGGGCTGGACGCGCGCTGGGGCCGGCGACCCCCCGCCCTGGCGACGCGCGCGCCCCGCCTCCGCCGCGGCCCCCGAGGCCTCCGTGGTGTCGGAGGCCGTTGACAGGGCAGAGGCTTCCTTAGCGGCTTCGTTTTGCCTCAGCGTCAGCCGAGGGGTGGCCCTCACCTTTCAGGGCCCTTGGCCAGGCCCTGCCCTTCCTTCTGAGAATAAAATCCTGTGCCTCAGGGGAGTGGAGTTTGTGTAGGACTCACGATACGTGTGCTGACGGCGCTGCATCTTCGAAACGAAGGTCACAGCCGTCCGGCTCGGCCAGAGCGCGGCGCTGCGGGCGCGGCTCCGGGACCATGAGGGGCACTCGCCCCGGACAGGACAGGCCCTGCCTGCCCTCCCGGGGTGGGGGGTCGCTCGCCCGGCGCGCCTTCACCCCGCCCGCATTCTTCCGGCAGCTGAGGGCCCTGACCCCTCTCCACATCGCCGCTGCCCTTCCCGGGGCGGAGGGCGTCAAGATAACCGAGCTGCTGCTCCACACCATCACGGACGTGGACGCCAGGGCCACGGACCAGGACAGCGTGCACGGAGGGGGCCAGGTGCGCCGTCCGCCACGCGGGAGGGTGGGCGCTGGGGGCCCGGGCTTCTCTGTAGACAGTGCCGCCCGTGTAACCCAACATTTCACTGTCCTGAAAGGGTTGGGCAGGCGCTCTGTGCGCCCCAGACCCACCTGGCTGCGCCACAGCGTGGACACAGCTCGCTGGCGGGAGACCTCGAGGGGTGGGCCCAGGGCGCCCCCGCAGGACGCACGGGGGGGGTGCACAAGACGCCGCTTCCGACCCGCAGCGCAGAGCAGCGCAGCCTGTGAGCGGACTCACGCCTGCGGGCGCTTCTGGCCTGGCCTGGTCGGGCAGTGGCCGGTCTCTGGGCGCCCGGGGGAGGGGCGCGGGGCCCGACCGTCTGACCCTCCGCCTGCACACAGCTAGACCTGCTGCCTTCAAGCATGAAGCTCAACAGCGAAGCCGGCCCGCCCAGCAGCTACCACAGCCCGCCCGTCTCCGTCCCCGACGAGGGCGGCAGGACGCCTCTGCACGTGGCCTGCGCGCGGGAGGACGACCACAGGGTGAGGGCCCCCGGGGCGGCGGGAGCGGGGCGCCGGGCGTGCGCGCGCCCTGGGGTGTGCCTGTGAGTGTGTACACCGGTGTGCCCATGTGCGTTCTGTGCTTGTACACTAGTTGCATACATGAGAGCACCTGTGAGTCGTGCGTGTAGGCAGTGTGCACGTATGTGTACACACGTGTGCCTGTGTGCGCACGCACTTGGGTGGTGCACAGGTGCTGGGGCAGGGCAGGGAGCCAGCAGCCCTGGCGGGGGCCGGCCGGGTCAGGGGACAGGCCTTGGGGTGTCGGAGCCTCGGTTTACCCTCCCGTAAGACGGCCGTGAAGGCCGGCCTCGGGGCACTGTGGCGGGGGCGTTTGCCGCAGGACAGTGGGGCGGTCGTGCGTGCCGCCCTGACAGGAGAGAATGAGCGCCCGTGTGGGGGGCACCTGGTGACGCTGGCAAGGGGGCGGGGCCGCCTTCCGGCCTCCCTGCTGCAGGGCGTCCCTCGTGTCAAAGCCGCCCGGGCCAGAACCCTCTGAGGGCGCCCGAGTCCCCGCTAGGAGGGGGGACAGCCGGACTCCGGAGGGCGGGCTGGCCAAGGCCCCCGAACACAGCGCTCTCCCGCTCACACCCTGTGTCCTTCGCGCCGACGTCCGACGTGGGCAGGCTCTGGGGAAGCAGAGTTCGGGGACACTTGCGGCAGCTTCTCGCTGGGTCACGGGCGGGGCTGAGGGAGGGGCCGCAGGGCCCAGCCGTCGGGCCCGCACTCCAGTGGGGGCGGGGGGCGCTTTCTTGGGGGCTGTGGCCTGGCCGGCAAGGCTGGGGAGAGGGAGCGGCCTTGGCGGGGGGCAGTCCCCGTCTGTGAGCGCTTCTGGGAGGCGGGGGGCGGGGGCAGCGGAAGGGCAGGGAGGGGTGTGGAAAGTTTCCTCTCCGCCGGGCTGGGCTTCCCCCTCGGCTGTGTCCCGGGGCACCGAGCCCTCCAACCCTGCACCGGCGGTGATGGCCATGGGGTCCTGAGTCTCCCCTTCCTTTGAAAACGAGCTTTAAAGTCAACCCCCACACCTCCAGTCCTTGTTTTTAATTAGACACGAAGACTGTTTAGAAAGCACCTCAGTTCGAGGACTGACCCACACACCGCCCCGCCCACCACTCCTCCGCCTAGAGTTCAGAGCCGCGCGGGGCAAGGAGCTGGGATGGAGGGGCTGGCAGACGGTCTGGGCGTCTGAGCTCGGGATCCGCGCCAGGCGCTCCAACCTGTCGCCCGCCTTCCCCTCCCAGTACGCCGGGGACGTGGTCCAGCTGCTGCTCGCGCACAGGGCCAACACCAGCCTGCTGTGGAGCGGCCACTCCCCGCTGTCCCTGGCCATCGCCAGCGGGAACGACCTGGTGAGCGCCTCCCGCCCTGCCAGGGCAGGCTCCCCGGCCCTGGGGGGCGGTGCTGCAGTGGGCCCTCCCCTGTGGGCGGAGCTCCCTAGAGAGCAGGGCCCTGAGGGGAGGGAAAGGGGCCGGGGGCAAGGGCTCAGCTGGGCGGAGGCCCCCTCGGGGGCCTGCGGGGGAGGTGCAAGGGCCAGTTCCCGCCAGCCGCTGCCACCCAGGGCTGCACTTATTCATCCCCCAGCCACCCACCCACCCACCCAGCCACCCAGCCTCCCTTCCTCTCTCCATCTGTATTCCACCCACCTGCGCGTCCTTTTATTTAATTTTTGGAGCAGCTGCCATGTGCCCGCGGGCACCCCTCCAGGAAGCAGATGTTGAATAAAGAGCCAAGTCCCTGCCCCAAAGGTTTTATATCCTAGTGGGGAAGACAGGCTGTCACCCATGTGGGGCAAGTTTTTAGGTAACGGCAAGTGCCGGGAAGAAAAGAGATTAAGGACGGACGGAGGCTGGAGGGGGCCGGGGGAGGGCAGCCCCCTCAGCAGGGCGGCCTGAGGGCTTCTCGGGCGAGGGGACACTGCAGCTGGGCCCCGAGGCCTGACCCCATCCCCAGCGAGCCGCTCGCCCGAGGGAGTGTGGCCCAGGGAGCTCACTCCGAGGGGACGCTCCCAAGAGCCCAGCACGAGAGCTGCCCTTACTCCTGGTTTCCTGGGTGGCACCTGGGCCAGCGGCTGGGGACACAGCGGGGAGCAAAGGACACGCGGCCTGTCCGTGTCTGGCTGCATGGACACAGAGACCCAGGGGGCCCGGGGCAGAGGCAGAGTGGTCCCAAGGATGAGGGGCTGGCCCTGGGCTGGCTCAGCACCGGCCCCGGGACAGACGACAAGATCGGGGACCGCGCCGGCCTGCCCTGAGGAGCCACCGAGAGCCCCGCCCCACCCCGCCCCCTCCTCTGAGCCAGCAGCAGCCGTGGAGGGCGCCCGGGGCGGCCTCCGTGAGCCCTAGCACGGCAGTGGCCTTGCTCCGGGCCACGTCCTGTGGCGGGAGGGGCGGGGGGGGGGGGCGCTGGCCAGCTGACCAGCCCGTCTTTGTCCAGGTCGTGAAGGAGCTCCTGGCCCATGGAGCAGACCCCAACCTGCTCCTGACCAAAGGTTTGGGCAGCGCTCTGTGCGTCGCCTGCGACATCGCCTACGAGCACCAGAGAAGCATAGAAAACAGGCTGGCCTTGGTGAGGCGCGGGGCGGGGCCGCCGGGGCAGGGAGGGGCGGGGCACGCTGACAAGGGACCTACTGCGCAGGGGTCGGGGTGCTGTGTCCCGGGCAGGGGGCAGGGGTCCGGGTGCTGTGTCCCGGGCAGGGGGCAGGGGTCGGGGTGCTGTGTCCCTCTGCCCACCGAGAAGCCAGCGCTGTGACACTAGCTCCCCGGCCGACCCCACTGTAGACGCTCTGAGATGGAGACCCTGGTCACGCACCCACCCCTCCAAACTGCGGTGGAGGTTTAATGAAAGCCACAAGACCGCATCCAATTCCCATAAATACTTCCCACGCCTACAATGATTAAAACATCTTTAGCCCCAACTGGCGTGGCTCAGGGGGTTGGGTATTGTCCCCCAAAATGAAGTGTTGCTGGTTCGACTCCCGGTCAGAGCACCGCCCTGGGTTGTGTGTTCGGTCCCCGTACGAGAGGCAACCAGTCACTGTTTCCATAACGCACTGATGTTTCTCTTCCTCTTTTCCCCCGCGTTTCCCCTCTCTCTAAAAATAACATCTTAACATTTTTGCCAGCCGTGCACCATAAGCCGGTTAGGAACGTACTGACACCGCAGAGTCCCCTCGGCCTCCCTCACCTGCACAGCCTGCGTCCCATTGTTACCGCCTCCTCCGGGGTCGCTCTGCCCAGCAGACCTGCCGCTGTCGGCCGCCAACCGCGGCCTCAGGCTCTGCGCGTTTAAGAGCTTCCGCTCGTTCCTTCGCACTCGCGGGCGGGGAGGTATGTGGTCCGCGATCACGGCACTTCCCCAACACGCGAGGCCACGCTCGGCAGGCGCGGGCTGAGCAGGGCGCCCGGCCCAGGTCTGTGGGGCTTTGGCCCCTCCCGTTCACTCTGTGTCCCTCCTCGGCGGGAGGGACAAGCCGCCCGCCTGCAGCTGCCGGGCTGCTCACCCGCATCTTTATGGAAGGTGTTTCGGGGGTTGTGTTTGTTGTTTGTTGGTTTGCCAAAGTGAGGTTACACTATTCCCATTTTTTTAAAAATTGCGGTAAAAGACACATAGAATGTGCCATCTTTGAAAAAACATCCTCCCTTGAGGTAACGCTTATTGATTTCAGAGACAGAGGAAAGGAGGGGAGCCGAGCGCCCCCTACGTGCCCCGATGTGGGACCGAACCTGCAGCCTTTCGGTGTAAGGATGAGTCTCCTGCCGGCTGAGCCGCAGGCCAGGCCGGGAGTTGCCGACCTGACCGGTTTTCGGTTCCGCGGCGCCCTGCACGCTCCTTGCTGTGCAGCGGTCGTACCTCCCCCGCCGCCCCTGCCCGCCCCTGCAGCTCTTTTCATTTTGTACGGCCAGCCGCCCGGTCCCCATTAAACACTCCCCGTCCCGCCCCCCGCCCCCCACCGTCCGCTCTGTCTCTCGAACCTGACCCTGTGAGGCCCATCCTGTCAGCGGACCACACAGGGCGTGTCCTGCCGGGCCATCGGGACCCCTGAGCGCCGCGCTCTGAAGGCCCCCGCGCGGCAGGCGGCGGGCGCCCGCCGGGCCTTCCGTTCCAGGCGGAATAACCCGTGGCCTTGCGTGTACAGGCCACGTTGTGCTGTTTAAGGGTCCGTGGATGGACAGCTGCGTGGGTTCGCGCCGGCAGCTGTAAATGATGTTGCCGTGAGCACGGACCAGGCTCGGCCTTCCGTTTGGGGATCTACCAGGAGTGGAGTTGCTGGATCATATGGTCATTCTGCTTTTAATTCTTTCAAAAAACGCCACCCAGTTTCCCACCGTGGCCGCCCCGTTCCCATGCCCTGCCCCCACCCCCGCCGTGCCCAGGGTCCCATTGCCCCACGGCCTCGCCAACTCGTTCTTTTCTGGGTTATTGGACATCAGCCACCCTGGTGCGTGAGACGTGCCATCTCGTTTGTTCTTTGTTTTTTTTGTTGCTGTTTTTTTTTTCATTTTATTTTTAAGAGGATTTTTATTTATTTTTTAGACAGAGGGGAAGGGAGGGAGAAAAAGGGAGAGAAACATCGCTGTGTGGTTGCCTCTCCCACGCCCTCTACTGGGGACTTGGCCCATAACCCAGGCGTGTGTCCTGACTGGGAACTGAACCCACGACCCTTTGGTTCTCAGTCGGGCGCTCAATCCCTGGAGCCCCACCAGCCAGGGCTCATTTGGTTTTGTTTTAATTCTACGTGTGTTGCTGAGCAGCTTCTCATGAGTTTGCTGACGACTCGTGTGTCATCTTTGAAGAAATGTCCCATTTAGGTCCTTTGTCCATTTAACACATTTTTGTTGTTAAGTTTTAAGAATCCTCTTTGTATTCTGGAAATTAATCACTTACCAGATATTGTGATTTAAAATATTCTCTCACATCTCTGTGTTGCCTTTTTACTCTTTTCTTTTTAAGTATTTTATCTTTTTATTTTTAGAGAGGGGAAGGGAGGGAGAAAAAGAGGGAGAGAAACATCGCTGTGTGGTTGCCTCTTGCATGCCCCCTGCTGGGGACCTGGCCCGCAACCCAGGCCTGTGCCCTGACTGGGAATCGAACCAGCGACCCTTGGGTTTGCAGGCCAGTGCTCAGTCCACTGAGCCACACCAGCCAGGGAGCCTTTTTATTCTTTAATAATGACCTTTGATGCACAGAAATTCTTAATTTTCACAAAGGCCAGTTTTTGTTGTTATCTGTACCTTTGGTGTCACACCTAAGAAATCGCTGTCGAGTCCATTATCCTGAGGCTTTTGCCCCATGTCCTTTATGAGTTTTATAGATCAGCTAGAGTTCAAACAAGCACTTGTCGGTACGGTCCGGTGCTTTTCCTCCATTTTCCTTCACATAATGGGCCTTGGTGGCGCCCTCCAAACCCCCACACCTCAGGGGAGCACCAGGCCACTTACAAAAGTCACCCGGCTTTGGGGGACAAGGCGGGGCAGCTTCCCGCAAAGCGCGAGGAACTGGCTCCCACGGGGGCCATGACGCAGGCCGGGAACGTGCAGTAGGATGCAAACAAGACAGGCCCGGTGTCTGCCCTGGGCCCCTCCGGTCTGCGGGAAAGGTGGCGGCAGCCAGGCCTCGCCAGGCACGGGCAGCGGGGGCGGGGGTCATGAAGGGTTCCCCGGCCGTGGCCCGGCCTCGGCTCCCCTGACAGTCGCCGTCATGACGATCACCCTGATTTCTCACCCATGAGGTCGTGCGTCTGTTTTGTCTGTCTCCACGCGCCTGAGAGGGTGGCTTCCCCGGGCATTGCAGGTGACAACAGTGTGTCTGGACAGTGCCTGCTTTCCCGCTGGGGACCATGACCTTGGGCGGCCCTCCTCCATCCGGCAAGGCTGGCAAGAGGCCCTGGAAGCCTTGGGTGGCCCAGACCACAGCACGGGGGGCTGTTGGGGGTTTGGACGCTCCAGTTCCGGGTCCTGCCTCCCGCTGGCCGGAGTGGTCACATGCACCTGACGCCGCCCCCTTCTCCCCAGATTGACCGGCTCATCGCTTACGGGGCCGACATCCTGGCCCCTGTGACACTCACGCAGGGGGACAAGGTGGCAGTGGGCACAGCTGTCGACTACGGGTATTTCAAATTCTTCCAGGTATGGCTTTCAGTTTCCTGTTGGTGGTGGGGGTAGAGCAGGGGCCTGTAGCATCCCTTGGGCAAAGCTGAGCCAAAGGTGCCTCACGCCTCCGACCAGGGCACATCCCGGTCCTTCGGGAAGAGACGGCCTGGCGCCCAGGCGTGTCCAGGCCTGGCCGCCGTGCCTGGCTTCCGGAGTGCTTTTCCCGTTTGCCCTCACAATGAGCCCCGAGAGCAGAGGTGCACTCCCGGCCCTGTACGCCTCCTGGGGCGACAGGCCAGGCCCGGGAGGGGTCCGCCCTGCGCCCCTTGGTGACCGGCGCTGTGCCGCAGGACCGGAAGATCGCCCACTGCCCCTTCCACCTGCTGATGCCGGCAGAGCGGGAGGTGTTCCTGGCCCGGAAGCGGCTCCTGGAGCACATGGGCTCCCAGCTGCGTCACGCCGTCCTGGCCATGGAGAGCCAGTGGGACCCGAAAGCGCTGTACCTGAGCAAGAGAGGTGGGTGGCTGCAGGCAGAGCCGGGCTGCGCGTCCTGACAGTCGTGCGGTGCCAGTGGCTGGGAGGGGACACGAGAGGCCTGTCCTGCTGCCGCCCCGGCCGCCTGCTGGGCCGGGGTCTGCTGGCGCCCGTGTCCTGCCCACCAAGGAGGTCGTGCAAAGAAGCTGAGGTGGCCCCGGGAGAGCCTCTGGCCACGCTCGTCCAGGAACGCCAGCCCGGCTGCCCCGGGACGGGGCACAGCACCCAGGAGGGGCGCTGCTCCGTTTGTAGTGGCATCAGTAATAGAAGCTGCGTAGAGCTTGCACTCTGAAAGCTACAAAACGTTGTTAAAGAAATTGCCCTGGCAGGGGAGCCTCGGTTGATTGGAGCGTCGTCCCACAGCCGAAGGGTTGCAGGGTTGATTCCCAGTCAAGACACATAGCTTGGTTGTGGGTTCGATTCCCGGTCCGGGCTCATACAGTTCCCTGTCTGGGCACATATGGAGGGCAATCAATCAAATTATTCTCTCTCACAGCGATGTTTGTCTCAAAAAAAAAAAAAAAAAAAAAAAGGCAATGGGAAATAAATGTTCTCAGGTGAGGAGAAAGAAAGAGAAATTAAAAGAACCTCAATAAATGGAGAGCCATCTGCCTGTTCGAACTCTAGCTGACTTCTTTGTGCAAAGTGAAGCTGGTTGTAAAATTTATGTGGGCCTTTTTCCGCCATCTTGAAGCTTGTGGAGCCTGCTGGGAACGGGACTTCTACGACGACAAGTATGTCTGGAAGGCTGTGGTCCAAGGCCATTTTTGCTGGCTATAAATGGGGTCTCCGTAGCCAGAGGGAACACACAGCTCTTCTCAAAATTGAAGGTGTTTATGCTCTAGATGAAGCTGGATTCTATCTAGGCAAGAGATGTGCCTCCGTGCACAAAGCAAAAGACAAAACAGCGACTTCTGGTGGCGAACCAAAGAAAACCAGAGTCACCGGGGGAGGGAAACTCGTGCTCGTGGAAACAGTGGTGTGGTCCGTGCTAAGCTCCGAAGCAGCCTTCCTGCTAAGGCCATTGGACACAGAATCTGTGTGATGCTGTGCCCCTCAAGGACTTAAACTTATTGAAAAGCAAGTAACAGCCCTGCCTGGTGTGGCTCAGTCGGTTGGAGGCCTCTGGAAGGATCCCTGTTTGGGGCACATGGTTGGGTTGCAGGTTCGTTTAGTTCCTGGTCAAGATGCAAACGAGAGCCAACTGATGGATGTTTCTCTCACATGTCAATGGTCCTCATCCTCTTTCTCTCCCTCCCTTCCCTCTCTCTAAAATAAGTAAATATAATCTGTTTTAAAGAGTAAAAAAAAAAAAAAAAAAAAAATCCTTGTGGAAATGCAAGAGTCCCACAACAGCCAAAATAATCTGGAAAAAAGAACCAAGTTGAAAGACTCACATTTCCCAATTCTAAACTTACTGCAAAACAACAGTTGTCAAAGAAGTGTGGCACCTGCAGGAGACAGACACACAGGCCCGTGGACTAGAATGCAGAAGTAACCCGCGTGTCCATGTCGAGGCCTTCACGGGGCAAGGACAACCGTCTTCTCAACAAGTGGGGCCAAGGCACCTGGTTTTCCAAACACAAAAGAATGAAACTTGACCCTCACACCACATACAAAAATAAACTCAGCTTGGATTGAAGGCCTAAATGTAAAAGCTTAAACCACAAAACTCTTGGAAGAAAACACAGGGGTGAGTCTTCATGTCCTCGGACTGGGCAGTGGATTCCTAGACACGACACCAAAAGCGTGAGCCGTGAAAAAACTAGATCAATCGGACAGCGTCAAAATTAACAACCTGTTTTTCTGCTTCAGAGGGCACTCAGAAGGAAAAGACAACTGGCGGGAGAATATATTCGTAAACCATACATCTCGTAAGGAACTCGTGTGTAGGATAAACTGTCATGACTCAATAGCAAACACATAACTGAGTTGAAGACCAAAGAATATGAACAGAAACCTGTCTGATAGTGGAGTAGAGACAGTGATCTGAGAAGAGATCTTGAGACTGGAAAACGAGGCCGCCGCCGCAGGGCACATCTGCAGCGTAGCCCCAGTGCGGATGGGCGGGCCAGACCAAGGGCCGCGCGCGCTGGCCGGGCGCGAGCCGCGCCTCCCGGCGGTCCTGCACCGTGTCCTCGCTCGGACCAGCCGCCACCTGCTGCGGGGGCTGTGCCGTTCCGGCCGTGGCCGATAAAAGTCTCCGTGGCTCACAGAGTGCAGCTCCTCGTCCGCCCCAGGCCTCGGTCCGCCGGCGGAGGTGGCTAAGCCCTGGTTCACAGCCCAGACACCGGAACCGGAAGGAAATCGGGGCACAGGGATGGAACCGGTCTTCGTCACATCGGCACCGACGCAGAAGTTCTTTAAAGGAGGCCAGGTATCTGCGCACGGCCGACAAGCCCCTAAAAAGAGGCCCGATGTCACTGGTCATCCCGAACAGATGGCGCAACCCTGAGACACCAGTCCACACCCAGTGAGGTGGCCGTGACCAAAAACGCGAGTGTCGGGGAGGAGGTGGGGAGAGGGGGCCTCCTGCCCTGCCAGTGGGTGTGTGGGAAACATCCCGGCAGCTCTCGAATGCCAACCACAGAGCCCTGTGTGACCAGCAACTCCTCTCCCGTCTGTGCACCCAAGAGAAATGAACACGTCCCCCAACGCTGGCACACGTGTGTTCGTAGCAGCGTGACTCGCGGAAGCCCGCTGGGAGCGGCCCGTGCACCCACCCGTGGACGAACAGATAAACGGGCCGTGGCCAATGCACAGACACTGGCTGCAGCGTGGAGGGACCGTGACCACAATGCTCGGTGAGAGAGCACGGTCACAGGGCCACATGCGTGTTGAACAAGGTATCCGGAAAGGCAAAGCCACGCAGACCGAGCGGACAATGGTCGCCGGGGCTGGGGGCCCGGGAGCCGGGCATGACAGCGGCTGGGGGCGGGCGTCCGCGGGAGCGACGCTGACGTTCCGAATGATTGTGGCGATGGCCGCGCACCTGCGCACGCACTGAAGCCACTGGGCCACTGGCTTCGTAGGTGACTTGGCAGGCGCACGAGGCACAGCTCAGCTCAGTGGAGGAGGAGTCCCCCACTGCGCCCGGCAGATTGCCCCTCCCCCCTCACGTTTCCCCCTAGAGAAGCGGCTGTGAAGCTGGGGCCCACGTCTTTGTCCCCACAGCAGCTCGAGGGACGGCCTGGGTGTGGTGGGCAGGGGCGGAGCCGGGGACGAGGGAGGGCGCCCGCCTTCCTGCTCACATGCCCGGAGGTGTTTCCGTGTGGGGTCCCTGCCTCTCCGGGGCGCCCTCTCGCCGTGGGGGCCTCAGAGGCTCACGTGGTCTCTCTGCGCACAGCGGAGCTGATCCCCTGCTACCGGCTGAAGCAGAAGGGCGCCAGCCTGCCCACGGTGCTGCACACGGAGCTGAAGCCGTAAGTGGCTGGTGTGGCCCTGCCTGCCATGGGCGTGGCAGGACGCAGGGCAGCGGGGGCCGCAGGGCGCACTCGAGGAGCCCCCCGTGTGCTGGGGGGACGGCTGGCTGGGAGATGGGTGCTGTCGCATGGACCCTGTGCCCGTACCCTTCCCTGCCCTCCTCCTCGGGGTCCTGGCTCTGCTCCCACCCTGCTCTGCCGGCGTAGTCTCTACGTGCCCGTGCGCCCCGGCACGGCCCGGCCAACAGGGTGGGGGCGGGGGGTGGTGGGTGGGGGCGGGGGGTGGTGGGTGGGGGCGGCGTGCTCACCTACGCTCACTTTCCTGCCAAGGGCGAGGGCGTGCTGGGCTGACCCACGGGCCCCCGCGGAGCTGCTGCTCCCACGAGACACGGCAACCCCCGACCCCGCGCTCTGGCATGTGGGGTCCCCGCCTCCAGCCCAGCCCCGCCCCGCCTGTGGGCCCTCGGGTGGGTCCTGGGCGTGGCGCTTGTTTTCTGTCCTGAACGGCTCTGTGCTGGACGTCCCCGGACGGGACTTCAGGTCTCTGCCCGTGAGTGGAGGACACGGGCCAGGTCCCAGGGCCTGGGCTGGAGGCACGGGCGGCGGGCACCACCTGACAGCTGCGCGGCCCCCAGCAGGATCCCCTTCTTCAAGTTCTGCCACCAGTGCGGCCGCTCCGTGGGGGTGCGCCTCCTGCCCTGCAGCCGCTGCTACGGGATCCTGACCTGCGGCAAGAGCTGCAGGGCCAGAGCCTGGGCCGACTTCCACAGCAGGGACTGCGGCGCCCTGGTGGCCACCGGTGAGCCCCCGCACCGGCCCCGTCACCCTCTGAAGTCCCCGGGAGCTCAGCCGCCCTGAGTTCCCGGCAGTGGGGGCCAGGGGCACAGAGCCCGCCCGGCCTTTTGCCCCACACGGGGCGCCACGCCCCATGCACCACGGCTCCTGGGGTGGGCCCGTCGGGGGGCTCTGTTGGACACGGGCTCCCCGGGATCCTGGGCGCCCCGCCGTGGGGCTGCGGCCACAGGCAGGCTCCGCCCCGCCCGCCCCCTCAGGCGGCTGGGGACATGGGGAGGTCAGCTGCCCCGGGAACGCTCCCCTCCTCCGGGGTGCGCGCGCCTGTCCTGCGGTGGGGCCGGGCCGCCGGCTGGCCCTGCCCGCGGCTCTGCCCCCGGGGCCGGTCCTCCCGGGGCTCTGACACCCACCAGCCCCTCTGCCTCCCCCTCTGTAAAATGGAGCTTTTATTACAGTCCGCGCTGCCGGCACCCCAGGGGCGCCGAGGCCCCGCCCTCACGGCCCCCCCTCTGCCAGCTTCCTTGCCAGGGTCCTGCCTCGAGGACGAGAGCTCGAGGGTGGAAGGATCTCAGTAGAGGAGCAAAGCCAGGCCTCACCGGCGGCGCCTGCTGGGGGCCCCGGGGCTGCCTCCCACCCAATGCCAGAGTCCGCGCGGGGCTCCGGCGGCGCCTCCCTCCGGACCTTGAAATAAAGCGGCCCCACGGGCTGTGTCCCACTCCCGCCTGTGTCCCCACGCCGTCCGCGGGCAAGCCCAGGGCTGCCCGGCCTCGCGGGTGAGGGCCAGGACCGGAGCAGAGGTTACTGTGGAAGGGGCTCCCATGCTCTGGGGGCCTTGGGGGGCTTCCGAGAACCCCCGGCCGGCGCTCTGGCCCGCTCAGCAGGGACGGGCGGGGCGTCTCAGTCACATTCATTGGTGCCACGTGTTCGCGGGCAGAGACGGGGGTCGCAGTGAATGTGAAATTGCGGGGATGGAGGTGGAGGAGGGGCCGGCGACCAAGAGCCGAGCTGCTGGACGCCGAGGGCCTGTCCTCAGGCAGGTGCTGGACGGGCGGGGGCAGAGGCGCAGGTCTCACCGCTGAGCACAGAGTGGGGGGGGGCCGGGGGGCCGGGGGGCCGGGGCCTGGCCGGTCTGGACCTCCCCGCCTGCAGCGCAGCTCCGTCTGGTTTCCTTGAAACCAGGGACTGGGAAGTTGGCTGGGGGCTCTGGGCGTGCGTTGCGCCAGGAAGGGGCGAGGCGGCCTCCCAGGCGGAGGGGCGGGACCCGGTGCCGCTCCAGGTCCGGTCGGCGCGCGCTGCCCCGGCCTCAGCCCCAGCGTGACCTTGGTGGGTGGGCTCCCGGCGGCGGGGCTGGGGCCTGAACCCCAGGACGGGATGCGGGCGGCTCCCACTACCGCTGCCGGTGGGAGGACACTCCTGGTGAGGACTGTGACCCCGCACCGTGCTGTGTGCGGCAGACACACGTGCTGGAGGAGGAAGGGGACGCCACCTCACGCGCACACGTGGCTGACGTGCTGTGTGCGGCTAGTCTCCTATGTAGACACATGCACATATGCACACATGCACATGTGCACCTAAAAGCAGAAGTGTGGTCTGTATGTTTTAAACGAGGCCACAAACAACCCTCTTTGCCATGAACATTTCCTGTGATGCCGTGGTCCCCACGTGCGGTTTATTTTCTGAGCTGCCTGCCTGGCCGCTCACTGTCAAGAAAGACAAGACAAAGATGGGGAAACCGCCCTCGCCTCCCACTCCGGGACAAGCGGCCTGAGCTGTTCTTCCCGGGGGGCCTGCGCCTGGATGCGCGTGCTGCTCCGCGGCACCCAGCACACGCGAGCTCTTTCACGCCCCACTCGCTTCTCATTCATTCGGTGGTCAGCGCAGCGGCCTGACGCGCCTTCCCCACGCCGGCCCACATCCGGCCCCCTCGCCCTGGCGCTCGCGTCGTTTGGCTCACTCATCAGCGCGCTCACTGCACGCGCCGCGGCCCACGTGCGCCTTTGGCGGGGTTCGCAGAGGGGAGACCCTCAGGTGTTAGGGGTCCCCGTCACACGCACCCTTGGGAGGTCACAGCACGTTTGAGTGGAGCGTCCTCCGGAATGACAACTGCTCTCCAGCCTCCTGAGGACGTTGGGCGAGCGTGAGCGCCCTCCTCGCACGGGACACGTGTCTGTCCTTGTTCTTGTTATTCAGGCTGAGGCTCCTCCTGACACGTAGGCGCTCCCTGGAGCCCAGCACCCACCTTCCTGGGTCCTGGGGGGCGGGGGCGTCTTGATTTGCTGCAGGGGAGGGGCATCCTGCTTGGGCCCCCGCACGGGCCTGACCTTCGGGGTCTGGTGCCCTGGGGACTGAGGAGGCCGCCCCCCCAAGACCGCACAGGACGCAGCCAGCTCCTAACGATTCCCATGCTGCTTGTTTTACCTGTGATTTTGTGAGTGGCCCCAAGTTAGTTCCTGCGTGAGGGGTGAGTGCCCCACAGCCAGCACCTCCTTCCCCAGCAACGGAGCCGGAGCTCTGGGCACCCCAGGGCGCACGGCGCAGCCTGACCTCAGGCTCATCCCGGGAAACGCTTGCGGCCACGTGCGCTCCGATGAGTATCTTGCGGGGCCTCGTCACTTGTTTGGCTGGGGACGCAGCAGGCACGCCCGCAGCGTTGTCGCCCAGGCCGCGGGCGGTGTTGGGCCGCGCCCGATGGGGCCTCTCCCGCGGGGCCGCGCCCTCTGCCTTCTCTCACCTCCTCGCCTCACGTCCGGTCCTCAGGACGCCCGCGCAGCTCTTCACACTGCGGCAGCTTCTGGAACCACTGCCGCTGCCGCTCCCATCCCGACCCCACTCCGCCCTCTGGGCCCCGGGCACTGGTGCCACTGAGACCGGCCCCTGTGGCCCCGCCGCTCCTGTGTCCACACGTGGGACGTCCCCTCAGAGTCCCAGCTGCTCCGCCCGGCCTCCCCCACCGTTGCCGGCGCCCCCTGTGCCCGGCTGAGCCGCGCCTGCCAGGAGCCCGCCCTCTCCGCGCCCAGACGGACGCTGCACGTCCTCTCCTTTCCGGCCCCTTTGTGTGGGGAGCACTGGCTCTGGGCGCCCAGGGCACCGCGAGGTGGGGGCCGCGCCCTGCAGGGGAGGCCTGCTGTTTGGGGGTGAGGGCCGCCCGGCGCCCCGGAGCGGGGCTGTGCTCGCGGTGGGTGCGGAGCGGGTCCTGGGCGCCCACCAATGGGCGGCCTGGCCCCCATGTCCCCCATGCTCGCCTGGCGTCATCGTCCCCTGCCCACGGAATGACATCGGGCGGCCATGCCCTCATCCTGCGCACCGGGTGGTCAGCCCCTGGCCCTGCGGACACCCTGTGCCCGCCCCATGCCTTCCCGGCGCCTGTGGCTTTTTCTTTGTCCCTGCATGGCACGTGGCAGGCAGGCGAGCGCTGTGTGGTGTTAGGTGCCAGTGGCAGCTGCAGGCCAGCTTGTGACTGGGGGAATGTCCCCGGCCATCGGCCCCCGGAGGACGGGCTGTCACGGGAAAGCCAGCCATTGGCGTCGGTCTTCAGCTCTTCCTTGTACTTCATTTTGTCCCGCTCATCTGTCCCGTCGATGGGGGCTTTGGGGGCTTCTTCCCTTGTGAGATGACGCGCCCACGCCTGCCCAGCCCACGGCCTCGGGTCCCCGGCTGCCCCCTCCCTGCCCCCGACGCCCCCTCCTCAGGAAATAGGGTTGCGTCCATCCTCAGAATGGGCCGGAACCGGCCCCTCCCCACCGCACCCTGGGCAGCCGCCGTGGCGTCCGGGGAGGGCTGCCCGTGGCCCTGCTCCGTGCCAAGCGCCATGCTGGTCGCCGTGGGTCCCCTCCCATGGTGCCGTCTGTAAGACCCTGGGAGGGGCGGGGCTGCAGCCAGGCCAGGGGCCACTGGCAGCCTGGCCAGCCTTCCTGGGGGCAGCCGGGGCCCGTAGCTGCCCCTGTGGCTGGCGCTCCCCCTATGGACCCAGTCATTCCCTCCGGGAGGGGCAGAGACCCCGCACTGCCCACGGGCTCGGAGCAAAAGGCGCCTCCCGGTCACCTGTCCTCAGGGTGCCCGCTGAGCGCAGCGTGCTCACTCGGGAAGGTGCCCCCATGCTGCCAGGCCCCTCCGCCTGCTCGGGGAGTGGGAGGCCACGCCCAAGGCTGGCCACCCTGGGGTCTCCCCTCGCCCCCACGACTGTTAGTCACCTGCTGGAGGTGGGCAAGAGGCCAACATGCCCACGTCGCCGGGGAGAGCGTGCAGACTGCTGTCCTCGTGCCACCGGGGGTGGGGGGTGGAGTCGGGACAGCGTGCGGACCTGGTGCTGTGTGAGGACCCAGGCGCGCCGGGAAGCAAGGCCCCTCGGTGTAGCCAGGGTGGCCGAGTCAGATGGCCGGGGCGGGGTCAGTCTGCTGAGGGTGGTCTGCGGCCGGCCCACCAGCCTCCTCCCCGCTCCGGCCTCGCCGCCCTTCCCCTGGCTTGTGACCGGCCCGCGCAGCCCTGGGAGCCTCCTCGCATCTCTCCCGGCCGCCCAGCATCCTCTCGTCCACCCACCTGGACTCTTGGGGCCTCTTAGGCTGGGCAAGGGGCGCCCTGCCACCTGGCCCAGCCCAGGGCCCACACAGGGCGCAGTGAGGCGGGGCGGACAGAGGGCAGGGCCGCCTCAGAGCGGGCGCGAGAGCCAGGCTGGAGGCTAAGGTTCGGGGGGCGGGAGGCGGGCAGGGCCAGAGGGAGCTGTCTGTAGGCCCCCCTCCCTGAGTCCCACACCTGAGAGGCGTCCAGGTAAAGCCGGGGGGCCTTGGGAGGAGGCCCGGGGAGCCAGGTGTGGACGGAGAGGGGACAGCTGGGGCAGAGGCCCCACGGCGGCAGAGGGTGCTGGCATCGGGCTGGAATGTTGGCAGGGGCTGAATGGCCCGGAATGTGCCGGCATCAGGGTTCCGCGTCCTGCGGTCTCTGGAGCGACGGGCAGCGAGCGTGGCCTCTCTGGCTCTAGGAAGCACGTGGAAGCTGCCGTCGGGCAGGAGCTGAGGGCTTCCCCTGCAGAGCAAAGCCCACCTGCTCGCCCAGGGAGCGGGTGCCTGCCTCCCTCCCTCCTTCCCTCCATCTGCCACCTCCCCCAGCCACGGCTGCGGACTGAGCTGGAGCCCGGGGAGCCCTGCCCAGGCCGAGGGCCCTGCTTCGCTTCGCCTGTGGTGTGTGCCCTTGTTTTGGTGGGGGGGGGGGGGGCTGCCCCCAACGCACAGGCTTCCCGGCCCCGCAGAAACGCGGGCTGACCTGCTGCAATGTCGGGATTCAAAAGGCCAAACACCACAAGCGCCCTGACCTCTTAGCACCTGGGTGGGCAGACGTCCACCCTGATGCCTCCCCGGGCTCTGCTGACCTGGTGCTGGGCCGGCGCCCGCCCTCCTGCCTTGTCCCCTGGAAGGTCTCCCTGAAGACAACGAGGCGGGGCGTGTCCCCCGTACCCCGGTGTTCGGGCTACGGGAGGGTCCCAGCTGAGAGGCCCCTGTGCACTTGGTCTTGGCCTCTTGTTTCTGTGGACTGGATTTTCACTGTTGACGGGAAGTTGCTTGGGAGCCGTGTGGCCTGCGGTCATGGGGTCTGCGGTCTCCCTGAGGGCTCCACGCCAAGGCACCGTGGGGACCCATAGGTCCTTGGTGGCCTGGGGCTCTGGGTCCATCACACGTGTTCTGTGTCACCCCCACATTTTGGAGCATCTCTTCCCACGTCGTGGGGACCTGTTTTCCTTCCCATGGGGCTCGCTGGCGGCCAGGCGCCGTTTGTGGGTGGCCTCTCCCCACGCCACCGTCCCTGGGGCCCCGCCATTTCCAGTGTCCGGCGTGGCCCCAGTCACCGGGGGGCTGCGCTCGGGCCACGCCCTCCACAGGAGCCTCGGTCCCACCTCCCGCTCCTGCTGACCCACCTCCTGGGGGGGGCCCTCATGCGGGGGCGGCTGCACCTCAGCGCCCCCTGGTGCCTCCAATCTCCTCATTTTCCTTTGAAAAATAGATGTGTCCTCACCCAGCGATTCCCACCTCCGTCCGCCGCCCTGAGACCACGCAGCACCCAGCTGCCCTCGCCGCTCAGGCCCGGGGGCGCCTCTCCCCATGCTGGGATTTGGGTGTGCGGTCCTGTCACTAGGGTGTCGTCCCCCCCCGAGGGACTCGATCTCGTCCCAAGCGGGGGGGTCTGCGAGGCCCCTGCGTCTGCTCCTGGCCTGGCCAGCAGGGGACCGGCAGCGCCGGCGCGTCTGTGGGTCCCCGCAGCAGGGAGGGGCTGTGACCGTCCCCGGTGTCCTGGCCCCACGCCTGTCTGCTTGTGCCGGGGGTGTTTCTGTGAGTGCCCCCACTCCCCGTGGCCTTCCGGGCCCCTGTGGTACGACGCCCCACGCCCTCGGGCAGCTGCTGGCTTTGGAAAAGCTTCGAGTTTGTCCAGCACCCCGACCTGCCTGCTGGGGCGGGCTCGCCATGGCTGAGCCTCGTGACCGATTCCCATGAGACGCTCCCTCGTGCTTCCTCCCGTTGTTCTCACGCGGGGACTGTGCTCTGGCTCCTGGCTGTCACCGGGGCTTGGAGACCTCGCTGGCCGGCTGCTCTGCCCCCCAGGGCGGGCACGGGAAGGGGCTCACGCGCACAGCTAGGGGGCCCATCCACGGTCGGGGCGCACGGCGGCGGCGGGAACGTCTCGATTCTCCGACAGCTCGCGGTGGCCCCTCTGTGAGGGGTGCCAGGGTCCCGTCCCCCAGTGCCCCCCTTGCCCTGGGACTGTCCCTGTCTTCAGTGGCCCTGACGTGCAACCTGCCATCTGTTGTCGGCTTCCAGGAGGGGGACAGGCCCCAGGTCTCGCCCTCCATTTAATTGTTAGGAACGGGGCGGGGGCGGCTCCCCCGTCTCCACTGGAGCTGGTGCTTGGACTGCAGGGGCGCTGCCGTCACCTGGAGGGGGCGGGGGTCGTGCCCCCACATGCACGCGCAGGGGGGTGCGGGCGGGCGGGCGGGCAGCGTGGGCTGTCAGGAGCCTGCGGCCTGGGGCTGTCCCACGCCACGCGCCCGCCTCACCGGGGACCTCCCTTCCCCAACAGGGCGAGCCCATCTGCCTCGGTTCAGACAGAAGGTCCAGAAGCCTCTGAAGAAGAGTCAGGATCCTGCGTGGTGCAGGTGGAAGCAGGTCTACACCAGCTACAACCAGGAGTGAGCGGAGGCCACCCCGCCGCCCAGAGGCCGAGCGGGCCCCAGGCCGCCCGTGCCCAGGGAGGGGGAAGGGCTGGGCGCCAGGCACCGGGCGCCGTCAGCAGGGCAGGGAGCACGCGGGCCCTGCTGCACAGGCTGGCGGGAGCCTCGGCGCCTGGGGAGGCCCCTCCGCAGAACCTGTCCGTCCTCCCAGGGCGCATGTCCGCCGGCTGCACTTGGGGCCCTTGGGGCTCCAGGCCCCAGGGAACGAGGCTGCGCTGCATGTCTGCCAGGCCGCTCGCGTGGGCTGTGGGGCACAATAAAGTGACCCTCCAGCGGCTCTCGGGTGTGTGTTGGCTGCAGCCCCTGGCTGAGGACCTGGGTGGGCCCTGCACCCATTCCCACGCCAGTGGGCGGTGGGGACAGGGCTGGCCGCCTGGCGCCGAGGGCCGCGCAGGCCGCCGCGTGGGGCAGCAGGGGTCCCGCTCTGGTGACAGCTGCCGGGCCCAGCTGGGCCCCAGGGCAGCGCTGAGGCTGCTTGGCAGGCACCCGAACCCTCCTGGGCACGTGCGAGGACATGGGGGCGGGCGGCAGGGGTTCCCCGGGACAAGGCAAGGACACGCAGGAGCCGCCGGCTGCGGCTGCAGGGCCCCGGTGCCAGCGCCCTCCGTGCGGCTGACTGGCAGGCCGGGCCGCGCCCCGCCATGCGGTCTGCGGGGACACGCTCACAGTGGGGCGGGCAGGGAGGAATCAGCGGCCACAGGAGGTGTCCGGCCTTTTATTTGTACAAGGACGCAAAGAACACACGTTGTCTGCTGACACCCCGTGGCAGGACACAGCAGGCCTGGCCACTGCCCGGCCATCCCTCCCAGAGATGCGCAGAGGGTGGGGGCGGGCACAGGCCCCTCCGGGGCCGTCCCCACGCGGCAGTGTGCCGTCCTGGCACACAGTCCCTGCCCGAGGGTCCGGGCCCAGCCCCCTCCGGGTCATCTGGGGCGAGCAGGCCTGGAACTCAGGCTGGGAGCTGGGCCCAGCTCCGGGTCAGGGGCCTGGCCAGTGGCCTTCCCCGCCCCTAGAGGGGGGGCAGAGCCACCAGCACTCGGCAGCCTGCTCTGGGCCCCTGCAGGCTGGGCCCGTCCCTGCCCACCAGGCTCGGCGGCCCCCTGGGACTGCCTTCTCGGGCCTGAACCCGCCTGGCCGGGGGCCAGCCCCCTCCTGGGGGCTGGCAGCAGTGGGGCCCCCCAAGCCTGCGTGAGCAGGGGCGCCCCGATGCTGGGCCCACGGAAGGGCATCCTTTGAAAGCTGTTAGGAAGGAGCTGAAAAAACAGCTCGCAGTGAACAAGGATGGGAAGCATTTGCAAAAACATCTGCACGTCTGAAAAGCCCTTAACTGTCAAAGCGCTCGCAGGCTCCCTGCCGTGGGCAGGCTGAGGAAGGGACCCCAGCGTCCCTCAGCCCCCGTGCCGGGGCACGCTGGCCCTGAGCTCAGTTGCACCCACCGCTCGGCAGCCCTGGCCCACGTCACCCTGAGCTGGCACCTGGCCCTGGGTCTGGGGAGGACAGTAGGGGGGTGGCGGCCAGGTTGCTCCCCCTCACGCCTGAAGGGCCTGAGCCGAGGCCCGGCTCCAGGGGCGGAGGGGCCGCCTGCCTTCGGGGACGGCCAGGAGCAGCAAGCCCACCTGCAGACAACCGCGAGCAGAGCCCCAGGCATGTGCTGTGTGGGCTGCTGCTCGGGGTGCGTTGGGGTCCCCCCCCAAGCAGGTCTTTGGCAGGGACGAGGTCTGCAGGGCCTACTTGGCCCAACAGGCTCTGAGCTGATTCAGGGGCTCCAGGGCCCGTGGTATCGCAGGAAGGGGGCCTGGCTGCCTATGAGGGGTTCATGCATCATCTCAAAGCCCCTCGAGATCCCAGGTGGCAGAAACCCTGCGCCCTCTCGAGGGTTCTCGGGTGCTTGGGGTAGGCCTCACTTTCTGACACCTGGGCCCCTAGTTGTCACGGGAGGCGGTGGGAGAGGAAGGCACAGGCTCCAGGCGCCTCCCCGCAGGCCCCAGCTCTGGGCGGGGACCGGGCAAGGACCTGGGGGAGGCGCGTGGACAGGCGGGGCGGGGGGCCCAGGAGGCGGCCCCAGGCCTGCGTGAGCGGGGGCGCACAGATCCTGGGCCCACGGAAGGTCCCTGAAATACATGGCTTTGGGGGGACATTGTTCCCGGCTGACCTGAGGGCCTCACACAAAATTAAGAGCCAGGGTGATGGCAAAGCCAGGCCTGGGGGGCCACCTGCCCCCCGTGCGTCACAGAGCAGCAGTCGCTCACTGTTCCTCCCTGTCCTGCCCCAGGCCGCTAGGCCCAGGGGAATTAAATATCGTCTGTTCGAGTTTTGGCAAAGTCCGTCCTTGGCGTCGGTCCCCGGGCAGTTACCGCCACCGGGGCCCGGCCGCTGAGAGGCCCAGCGTGAGCAGCAGGAGCAGGAGGGCCGCACAGGGCTGGGGGCGGCCCGCGGCCGAGGTCTGCTGGCCCTCCCGCTCCGACAGGCCGGGGAGGGCGTGGGTCAGGCTCTTGCGCGAGCTGGAGCTCTTCCTGTTGACCTTCCGGCCGCAGACGTCATCGGGGCAGCCGTCCCCGCTGCCAGAGCTGCTGCCATCGTCACCTGGGGAGGACAGGAGGCTCGGGCAGGCCCTTCTCACCCGGGGACCCTGAGCGTCGCGACCCTGCGTTGTGGGCCTCCCAGGCAGGGGGCACCCTGACCCCCGACGGTTGATGCTGCCCGGACATCCCAGCTGGGCCTTGACCGCGCCTGGGGACCCGTGGGGGGGCAGGGCCCCACAGCACCGCCCCCCGCCCCGCGGCGGCCCTCACTGGCGTCCTGGAAGTCCGCGTCCTCGCCGTTGTAAGCGCTGCGCAGCCGGTTGGTCATGATCTTCAGCTGCATGATCTGCTGGCGGACAGCCATGTCGGGCTTGGTGATGTCCACCTCCACCTCCGGGTTGTTGATCTGGTTGGCCAGGCCGTCGCCCATCACCTCGGGGAGGTACCTGGGCCAGAGGGAAGGCCCCGGATGACCACGCAGGGCCCTGCAAAGCGGGCACCCCCAAACTTGCCCTTCCTCCTGCCTGGTGGTAGGGGACGGCCCATCTGGGACCCCCAAGGCATTCGGGCGCCAAGGGGAGCTGACGCAGGCCCCATGGCAGCGGGGCGAGGACACACCGGGCACGGTATTGGGGGCGAGGATCTAGCCCTCGTCCCCACGCCCAGGGTCCAGCTGTGTGCCCCATGTCAGGCATGGCCCGGCGCGGGCCAGACACAGGCTGGCTGAGATGCAGGGGGGGGACAGCCTGCTTGGCCGGCGGCACCTACCGGCCCCGGGCCACGCCGTTCCAGCAGCGGTCATCGCTGGCCGCGCTCATGGCCATCTTCTCGCTGCACAGCGTCCCCGGGAGACTGATCCAGAAGTCCTGGGCGTCGCGCAGCTGGGCTTTGGCCTCTGAGACCTGTAGGGCAACAGTCAGGCTGCTGGGCACCCCGACCTCGCCGGTCCCCCCCCCGCACCCCCCTGGGCCTGGCCCGCCAGCCAGCTGCTCACCAGCTTCTCCAACGCTCCTGCAGGCGGCTTCTGCAGCACCAGCTTGCCCCGCGGCCGCTTCTCCTCAGACCCGGGGCCGTGGGGGTTCACCTTGGGGTTCCCGCAGCCCTGGATGACCTGGGGGAGACACAGCGGTCCTGGAGGGGCACGAGGCCATGTCCGGACCCCCTCCCGGGCCCACCACACCTCCCGCCCGCACCTTGGCAGTCAGCGAGTCACGGTTGTCCTGGAGGGCGTTGATGGCCTCGGCCAGCCACAGGTGCACGCTGCCGATGACGTTCTCCGCACCCGACGGGCCCCAGAACTTGTCGGTGATGAGCACCATGGAGTCTGGCACAGGTGTGAGTGCACAGCGGTTTGCATGTCTGCGTGCCAGACTACCATACGCACGCATGTGCACACTCGTGTGTTTGCATGCACACACCGCGCTGGCCCACCGTGTATCAGCGGTGCGCACATGCACTCACGTGTGGGCTGGCCCACCACGTGCCACACATGCTGGCGCCTGTGCCTGTGGGTCCGCCATGTATCCCACGCCTGCTGGCATGTGTGCTGGGCCACGCAAGGTCCACGTGTCAGCTCACAGCTCTTGCACAAGCCGGCCCGCTGTACGTCACACACACACACACGCGCGCTGGCACGTACGCGTTGGGCCCTCGCCCGGGGGCAGGGCTCCCCCCTGGGCCCTGTCACGTCTCGCTCCACCCAGAGCGCTCAGGAGGCACCCCTGTCCCTCGACCCCGGGGCCCGCCCGCCTCTCGGGGCCCTGGCGCTCACCCAGGAGGTTCCTCCACTCGGCGTCCAGGTCGGCCTGGTTGGCCAGGCAGCCCTTGAGCACGTTGCGGCAGTAGTCCGGGCAGGGCCGGGCGCCGGGCACCCCCAGGCAGTGCGCGCAGTACAGCAGCTTCGTGACGGCCCGCCAGCACTCGGGGCCCAGGGGCACCTGCGCGGCCAAGGCAGCCTGAGCGCCTGCCCCAGCCCCCGGCCCCCGCCCTCCCCGTCCCCACGCGACCGCCTGTGGCCTCACCCCGGGGCCAGCCCTGCCCTTCTCAGGGGCCCTGTCACCCCACGGGGGGCCCAGGCCACGGGGGTGCTCGCCCTTGTGGCCACTCCGACACTCCGCTGTCACCAGCCCCCGGGAAAGCGCCCCGTAAGCACAGCAGCCACGTAGACGAGGGGTCCCAGACTCCGGACTGAGGGGAGACTCGCCAAGGACTGCAGCTGGAGGGGGAGGTGGCTGCCACCCAGGGCTCTGGGCCCGAGGCCGACGCGCCCCCACACCAGTCAGCAGGGGGCCTGAGAGGATGCCCAATGGGGCGCCCGGCAGCCCCCACCTGCTCGGGCCTCCAGGGGCCTGTCCCGCCCCCCCGACCCCTGCAGCTGGCTCGGCGTCCAGCCCCAGGGCCCTCTCTTCCCTGCCTGGCCAAGGATGGGACCGGACAGCGGGCAGGCCACTCAGAGTGGAGCGCATGCCGCCCGCCCACTGCCGTGAGTGCTGCCTGTAGGTCCCCAGCCACAGCCCCAGGTCAGGAGGGGGCCCAGGGCCCCGGGGGTCCAGGACGTGAAGCAGCGGGCAGAACATGGGTCCCCGAGCAGCGGAGCGCACCTGGGCCACCTTCCGGACCACGTCGCCGGCCACGGCCAGGCCCTGCACGAAGGCACGCGCGGCCACGAAGGCGCGGGTGGCGCGCAGGCGCAGCTCGTGCGGGGCGTCCCCGAAGGGCCGCAGGGGCTCAGCCTGCTTGCCCAAGCAGTCCAGGTAGTCATCGGGCAGCAGCAGCTGCGGGTGCAGCTGCCTGAAGAGGCGCTCGAGCAGCCGGGCCCAGAACTCGGCCAGCGTCTCCTCCAGGTGCAGGTTGGCCCCGCGGTAGTAGAGGCGCAGCTCCGCGTACAGGTCCCGGAAGGCCCGGGCGCTCTGCGTGTACAGCTCCCCGAAGGCGCCGGGGAAGGCGTCCTGGAGCGCCCTCTCCGAGTCGTTCAGCAGGCGCTGGAAGTGATCTGGGCACAGAAGGCAGCGTGAGGCTACGGGGACGCCCGCCCGCCCGCCCCCGCCGGGCGGCCACGGCCCACGTCCCACCTGCCCCTCCCCCACTGGCCAGGCCTGCGCCCCCTCGTCAGCGCGAGGAGGGGGCTGCTGGCCCACCGGGAACAGGAGGGCCCTAACGGGCTAAAGCCATCCAAAGCTGGCCAGCCCCCACGGCCACGTGGGGAGGACTGGGGCCCCCTGAGAGTCCGTGGGGCCAGCTGCTGTGGACAGGACTCCAGGAGCCGGGACCCACAGGCCTCGGACAAAAGCCCTGTGGGTCTCCCGTCGGCCTCGGGTGCCCCATCCCGCCGGCAATGCCCGGGGCTTCCCTGTCCACGGAGACCTCTGTTCGGCCGTCACTCACTGGGGACCCCGCCCACTGAACCGCCCACTGAGACGTCATCACGCAGTCCCGGCACTCGTTGCTTAGGGCGCTCTGCCCAGATCCGAGGTGACGGCCGCGAGGGGCAGGGCCTCCGCGGGGCCCAGACTCTCCCCGCCTGGCATCTGGGCTTTCACGCTGAGGCCAGCGTCCAGCAGGTGCCCAGAAGGGCTCCGCCTGTTCAAGGGGCCACCTGGAGGGCAGGGGGGCCCCTCGGAGGACCTGGGGGGAAGGACGGTTCCACCTCTCGAAACGGGCATGTGTTCCCAGCAGGGCGGAGGCAGAGACCTCAGACTCCGGGGCTCACGGCTCCCCTGCTCTGGCCCCCGCACGTGGCTGTCCTTCTGTTAATGGGACCCCCACATCCCAGGCCTCAGCCCCAAAGTGCGACTCCAAGCCCCTCTGACTCCAGGGCACCAGGGGGGCCGGCTCACCGTCGAAGCCCCGCAGCTGGGCGGCCAGCGCGGCCTGCAGGGCACGGCTGCTGTCCAGCAGCGCTGTCTCCAGCTCCGCACGGCTGCGGTTGGCCAGGTTCTCCTCCATCGCGCTGGTGCAGCAGGTGTAGCCCTGGGGGCAGATGCGCAGGTGCTCGCCTGGTGGAGGGGGGAGGGGTGTGAGGAAGAGGGGGCGGGGCAGGGCCTGGGCCCCGCCCCTTGCTCCGAAGGCCTCACCTCCAGGGCCTCCGGGCCAGCCCAGCAGGGGAGGGCAGAAAGCAGGGGTGCCCAGGACTGAGCCCCAGGGCAGGATGCCAGGTGCCACCCCCCCACCATGCCACCCTGCGCTGGGGCCGGAGGGCCGTCCACGAGGCTGGGAGCAGCGCAGGTCCCGTGGAGCCCCATGCTGGACAGGACGGGCTGCCAGTATCTGCGTCCCTGGCGGAGGCTTCCACGCCCACCCTGCCCAGGCTCGGACAGGGAGAAAGGACCCCGAGGGGCAGTCGGGGCGGCCTCACCCCTCCCATGCCACCTGGGGCTCAAGGTCCCGCTGAACCACAGGCCTGCTCTGTGGGGACCCCGGGACCCACAGCTCTGGGCTGGCCAGAGGCACCGCCCCAAAGAGCTCAGGTCAGGGCAGGGCCCGGTGTGCCTGCCAGGGGCCCCCCCGCCCCCCACCCTCCAGTGCTGCAGGTCAGGGACAGGCTCTGAGCCCGCACAGCCACAGCAGGGACGAGCCCTGGGCACAGGAAGTCCCTGCCGTGTGCCCAGGGCAGAGGGGACACCGAAACTCCCAGAACGCGCGGGTCCTGGTTTTATAACAACTGCAGCTTTGAGGCAGGTGCCGGGACCCCATTTCACAGTCCAGGGAACTGAGGCTGGCAAAGATTAGGGTTCGGCTCTAGCTGCCCCACTGCAGGCCCCTCCCCCCACAGCCCCCTTCCCGTGGGGCCCAGTGTGGCCAGGGCCGGGGGCGTGGAATGCAGGCGGGGCCTGGGTGGGGGCGCCCCGGTGACCTGGGGCCGGCACCCTGGCCCCGGGCACGCCCAGTGGGCTGCGTGTCTCAGGGCCACCCCGTCCGCAGGCCCTGGAGCAGCCCCAGCAGGCCCATCGGTGGGGCGGGGGGCTGCAGCCCCGCTTTCGGTCAGGGCTGACAGACGGAGCAGCAAGACCACCGGGTGCCCACTCCTTCAGAGCCCCTGGCTGCGGGGGCGCGAGGCCATGCAGGTCTCTTGGGAACAGCCTGACTCCCAGGGCCTGGCGGGGGGGGGGCGCCCCATCCCTACCACCCTCCCGTGGTGGGGAGCTGGCACCTCCAGGGGTGGCCAGGACATGAGAACACCCCCCAGGACGGCCCTGGTGCTGGCTGGGATGTGGGGCCCTGGGCCCTGGGCGGGGGGGCGGTGGTTGCAACCCCAGGGCCGAGGTTGCAGAGCCGGGCACATGTCGAGTGGTCGTCTGGGGCGGGGGAAGCACGGCCGAGATAGGGGGCTGTGCACCCTCGCCGAGAGGAACCTGAGCCCCCACCCCCGGCCACCCCAGCAACAGGGACCAGGGCTGCACCCTCGACAAGGACCCCCGACCACTGCTTGGAACCACCAGGCTCCGGCGGGGCAGGCATAGGGGACTTGCCCTGGGGAGAGGGCGGGGCCCGTGCCTGCCCAGGGCTCCCACGTGACACCTGGGCTCAGCTGTGAGCGGTGCTCAGGCCAGGCCGGCTGGGCGATGGGACCGCGGCGGGTTGGGGGGAGACACAGCTCTTCAGTCGGATGGGCAGCCAGGGCGTGCGCCTCGAAGGCCAGAGGGGTGGCGGCATCCCAGCTGGCTCCCTCGTTCCGGAACCCTCCTGGCCCCCTGGGGACCCCCGACCGCGGTCCTGAAGCCTGTCATGTATGCGGACAGCTCAGACAGGCTGCGTCCACAGAGCGGGGAGGGCACAGGGAGCCCCCCGGAGGAGGCTCTGAGGCCCCGGGCACTGCCAGCCCCTCCCCCCGCCCTGCCCGGCCACCTCGTCCAGCCGCCCAGTGGCCCGCGCTGTCCCAGCAGCCCCAGCACAGCCCCCGTCCCTCCCTCCCTCCTCAGACACCACGGGAGTGAAGACACGGAGCCAGAGCTCGGGCGCCAGCCTGGGGCCCCGGGCGGCTGGGCAGGGGCGGCCCCCCAGCCCGCTGCGCGCAGCCGCGGGGGCCAGTGGTCAGGGCACAGAGGCTCTTGCGTCCCCTGGGCCTGCCCCGGGCCCGGTTCTGCCTGGACCGAGGGGCATCAGTTGGTCCTGGACATGAGGCAGAGGTGGGTTTTGCAGGGCACGCCCGCGCAATGCAAGCCCCCTCCCCACCAGTGCTGGGGGCGGGTGTGCTGCCAGGAGAGGGAATGAGCTCCCTGACCCTGGAGGTGTGCAAGTGAGCGAGGGACCCTCCACTGGCCCCTTAAGCCCTTCCCACCCCTGCGTCTTCTCTAGCTCAGCCCTGAACAAAGGTGACAAGTGAGCCAGCAGTCCAGTCCTGCTCCCCGGAGCTCAAACCCGCCGAGTGCACGCCCCCGCCAGGTTTTCCCCTCCCTGCTGCTGCCCCCTCCCCCACACGGAGGCTGCTCCCCCGCGGGCTGGCCAGCGCCCCCATCCTCCCTCCTTTCTGCCAGCCCCTTTGCCCTCCTGGGCGGCGGGCCCCACCCGGCCAGAACGCTCCCTCCCCTCACTCTTCGGGAGGCTTTCTCCTCCGCTGACCCCCGGTTTGGAGGGGAGGGAAGAGGAACCGCAGGTCTGTTCTCCTACCCGGCCCCTTCAGAGCCTCCGCTCCAGGGCCCCCCGCCAGCTCCCCATCCTGCACAGGCCCGCGCCGCCCACCGGCCGGGGCGCAGACCTCCTGGGCTGCCCTAGACCCCCGCCCGGCTGGGAGGGAGGCTTCCGCCCTCCTGCCACAGCCCCCAGCCCGCCCGTCCGTCCGTCCGAGGGCACCAGGGCCTCCGAACGGCCCCCCATCCGGCACGGCCACCCCGGCGCTTCCGCCCAAGACCCCCAGCACCCCAGCAGCGGTCACCGCCCCCCAGCCCAAGCCCAGCGGCAGCCGCGGACAGTGGTCCCGCGGAGACTGCAGAGGGAAGATGGCGCCACGCCAAGCCCATCTCTCCAGAAGCTTCCACAGCCCCCACCGTGCGCAGGCTGCCTGCTCAGCCACCTCTAGAGCCACATTGCAGGAGCGCTGTGCCCACAGGCCCAGCTGCCTGGGAAACGAGCTCCGTCGGCGGCCGCCGCTGGGGCAGGTGACGGTTCCAGACCCCGCGGCCCCAGCACACCGCAGGCAGGATGCCGGTCTGGGAAGCAGGCGGGGAGCCCCCGCCCCCCTCATCCTGGACCCCCCGCACAGCTGCCTGGCTCCCGCTGCAGGAAGCTCCCCTGAGCAAGAGGCCTTTCTCGGGACAAACTGCCCCACGCCTGCCCCACCCCCGGGGCGGCAGGACCCTCCTGACAAGTCCACCAGGCTGCGCCCGCAATGGGCAAATGGTCGAAGGCTCCCGGGGCACCCCCCGCCCCGGACCGTCCTTCCTCACGTCTGCCTGCCGCCACCTCCTCCCGCCTTTGTCCCTGGCCAGTCCCTGTCCTACTGACAGTCTCTCCACGAGGGTGGCCTCAGACCCCCTGGGGGAGGACATTTCAACGCCTCCCCTTCCCCCACCAAGACATCAACAGCACCATAACCCCTCCCCCTCTGCCCTGGCGCCCCTCCCTGCCCCTCACCCACAACCCAAAAACCCTCCACCATTTCGGCCAAATGACAGGTGCCGCCAAGTCTCTGTCACACACGGGAACCCAAAACCAGGGGCTTCGCTGCAGGCGCCTCTGCGCTGGATGGGAGGGGTCCGCCCCCCAGGCCCAGGGCCACAAGTGCGAGGCTGGCTGGGCTGCGTCGCAGGCAGCGGAACAAAAGCCAGCGGCCGCGGGGCTCCGGGCGCCCCGGTGCCGGTCGCGTGTCCCTCCAGCCCGGACGGAAGACCGTGCGCCTTGGATCCGGAGCCGGCGCGCGGGGTCTGGAGCTGCGGCAGCGCTGGGCGCGGCGCGAGGCGGGGGGCGGTGCGAGGAGGAGGGCGCCGCGATTGGCGGGGAAGGGGTTCGCCGCAGTGGGTGCGGCGCGCCCGGGGAGGGGGTGCCGGGAGGGGCTCGCAGGGGCTGCGCCGAGAGGGGAAGGGGGATGGGTTTGCCGGAGGAAGGGGGGCTTGATGCGGTGGGCGGGGGGCTGCGGCAGGAGAGTGGGGAGAAGAGGAGGGGGTGGGAGGGGTGGCGGGACCCTGCGGGACGGGGCAGAGGTGGGCACTGACGGGGAGGGCTGGGGCTGGGCTGCCCCGAGGATGGAGAGATCCCGGGGTGGACGTGAGACGGTGCGGGATGTAGGGGCCGAGGGCGGAGAGCGGAGGACGGGGATGCAGAATGGGCTCCGGCAGAGCGATGGGTGAGGAGGTGGTGATGGGGCCGCAGTGGAGGTGATGCGGGTTGCGCGGCGGGAGTGAGGTGGCGGCGGCGCGCCTCGGGATGACGGAGGGCTGGGACGGGAGACGGCGATGGCGGGCTGGGGCCCGGACGGGTCCCCCCGCTTGGATCCCAACTCCGCGGGCGCCACCCCGGCCTTGGCCCGAAACCCCTTCCCGGCGGCGGTGGCAGCGGTTCCAGCGGCGCGACGTTCCGGGAAGCACGCGCGACTCCGGGTGCGGGCGCGCAGGGCTCCGCAGGTCCGGCTGGGGAAAGGCGGCGGAGCAGGAAGGGCCGGGCTGGCAGCGCTTGGAGCAGCGGGGCCGAAGCGGGTCGGGGCGGGAGTGCGCGGCACCGGGGCTCTGCGACGGCGGCCGCAGACAGCACCGCAGCCGCACTGGCGCGCACGGCGAGGGCGGCGCCCCGCGGGGACGCGCCTCCTCCCGCAGCCCCGCCTGCCGCGCGCATCCTGTGCCCCCTCCTGCCGCCCTGCGGGCGGTGGCCGAAAGACCCTCTTTTCCCTCAACCTGGGGACTACCCGGTGCCTCCCGCCGCGGCGGCGAGTCCCTCCTGGGTGCTGGTCCCCATCTCCGCGGGTGGGAGGACAGGCCCTTCGCGTGGCCCCAGCAGCGCATCCTGCGCAGGCCTGGCCTCCCGGCACCCATCCGGGGATGGCGATGAGGGTGCGGGCAGGGGATGC